CCTAACCCTAACCCTAACCCTAACCCTAACCCTAACCCTAACCCTAACCCTAACCCTATGCGGTAAAAGCTTTATACGCCTTTCCATTAAAAGGAAAAACGCCCTTAGGGAGGTCGGAGCCGTAGGGTTAGTAATCGGTTATTTTTATATAGGATATCGTGGCTTATTATTATAGTATTTTAGGCGGTTGGATTTAAAGTTATGGTCTAAGAAGTAATATATTAAGGTTTACGATATCGCCTACGATTTTCTATATAAAGTGTATATATAAAATAGGTGCGGTATATATACCTCTTAGTAATAGCGTTATAGCCCCACTAAAATATCACGTGTGAGGTCTCGATATTGAAACGTGAGGTCTCCCTATTAAGTCCCTATAATAACCTGGTTGTGTGCCTATGATGAGAACATGACGTCGATCTAACTTCGACAAGAGAAACACCAAGAACCAAACGATTACGGCATAACGACAATGAATCCCGCCCGCATCATATCCCCGCCTCATAAATAATCTCCTATACTATTTCAATTTATACTTTTCCGAAACACACCTGGGATAGTTAATGTCGTCGACACGTTCTCTTTGTCATTTACAATTGAGACGACAATCACATTTACTGTGCTCTTATCAGACCTGAGAACCTGAGACGCACTGTAGTCTGTCCGACTGTCGCACATCTCTCAACATGGCCTCGACAGACCGTGTATTCCAGATTAGCGGCACATGTAACAATTACGACTGGGGGAAGAATGGCAAGTCGTCTCTCGCCGCACGCCTCTGCGCCCAGACAACTCCCGACTTTGCTGTCGAGGACGACAAGGTCTACTCCGAGCTGTGGTTCGGCGATTACCCTGACTTTCCCGGTCGCGTTCTTACGACTGGGAAGCCACTTGGCGAGCATCTTCAAAAGCACAAGGAAGTCCTGCTCGGGGACAAGGTGATTCGAGAGTTCGATGCGCAGTTGCCATTCTTGCCTAAGGTTAGTCGAACACGAACAGTGCCCTCGTATTCCGTCCTGTGAATCTGTGATGGCAACTCGCTGACAAGCATAATGGTCAGATTCTCTCTATCAGCAAAGCTCTTCCTCTTCAGATTCATCCCAACAAGGAGCTCGCTTCCAAGCTACACAGCAAAGACCCGGACCAATTTAGCGACCCCAACCACAAACCCGAGATTGCTGTCGCCCTCAGTGACTTTGAGGTCTTCGCCGGCTGGAAGCCGCTCACGGAAATCACACCCATATTCAACAACCCGGCCTTCCTCGAATTCCTTCCTGACCCGAGCCTTCCTTCCTCATCGTGGACTGATGATACCCTACGCGAAGTCACTCGCGCAATCCTCCTCGCCGACGAGGCGACCGTTAAGCGAGCCCAAGGTGCCCTCCGAGCAATGTCGAAGGAGGAACTCGGGGATAACAGCTATGTCCTGGACCTGCTACCGCGGCTGCAGGAACAGTATGGAGACACCGATCCAGGCAACCTGGTAGCTCTGCTCTGTATGAATTTCCTGACTTTAAAGCCAGGCGAGGCTCTGTACATTCCAGCAGATGGAATACACGCCTACCTTAGCGGGGACATCGTCGAATGCATGGCCAGAAGCAACAATGTGCTCAACGCAGGTTTTTGCCCACGAGCAGACAGGAACAGTATCGATTTGTTTGCCGAGACGTTGACTTTCAAGTCGCACTCGAAGAACGATGTTGCGCTGCCTCGGGAGCGGAGTGCAACGGGCAAAAACAGTAAAACGTGGGTTTACAGACCGCCTATGAGTGAGTTTGATATGTTGTGCACCGAGCTTGAGAATGGCGAGAGCGAGACAGTGAAAGCCGGAGACGGTCCCGGTGTTGCCATAGTCACTGGTGGCGAAGGGATACTTGAAGGGGATGGAAAGAAGTTCAATGTCAAGGCGGGGTGCATCTTCTTTATTGCACCGGATGTTGAAGTGAAGTGGGCTAGCTCGAAAGGATCTATGCAGATATATACGGCTGTGGTGTAGATTGAGAGAAGTGAAGATAGGCGTCCACACAAACAGAAGACCTATATTCTCAGTGCTTAAGAATTTCTTTGTCGGGTAGTGCCTCGTCAGTCTAGTCAACAGTCCGACAGAGTCCTCTTACAGTGCTTCTTGCAGTGGCGCTCGCCAGGTCTGGTGTAAGACACGTCCACTAAGGTAATACACACTATATCGCTGATAACAGGCACCCTCTATGGTACCCGGGTTTGTTGTAAGGCCCTAGTATACCCTTCGTCTGTGGTTGGTCATGATACGTACTCATTTCCGTAGTTCAAGCAAATTGGTGCTTGAGGTCTTCATTAATGGCGCCTCCATGTGGAAGCTTCAGAAGTCACTCGTGTTCTTGTTCAAGAGTGCCATCCAAGGTCCAGCGTGAGCCGCCTAATTCCATCCTCCCACAGTAAACCCTCTACAATAAATGGAAGAATATAAGGAGCCAATATCTTCAACCGCTGGCTGACCTTTGAGGAAGATGCATAGGGAGTACGACATTTCACCCTTGCGGATACCTGCGGTTCGCGTACTCTAACTTTGGCTTGTAGGAGATGTCAGACCCAAAGACGTAGCACTTGCAGACCCATTTAGGCTGAAGGCTTTGGGACGTTTATTACGCAGCGCTATTCCGGATGCGTAGCTCAGAGTCTTTAGACAGCCAAAGATAGACTTAATAGGTAGTGGTTAGTTACATAGGCGCTCTCTAGTGATATTCTATCTCCTAGGTAATAAGACATGGTCCTTGATCCCCACTTTGACGTAGTATAACCCTTTGAGAATATGTGATATATGGTGAGACTGCTTCCGGATTCACTTGATGGTAGGCTTGTTTCCTAGATGCACATATATAGGTGTAAATGTTACCCTGGATGTCCGTCTCGTTGTCCGTGAACCATGGTATGTAGACGTTGATTAATATTATCTTCCTGATTATCTTCCGTATTCATCCAACCAGTAGCGTGCTTGTCGACTAACTACAGTCTCTCCACAGGGCCAGAAGAATACCACGCTGGGCGGCATTGAGCGGGGTCTGTATCTACCGGCAGCGACGATCGACAGAGTCTATATTAATGGGGTTACAGGACAGGGGCGCTTCACCCAAATTTCCGACTTCGTCCTGCGCAGCATAAGTCAGGAGTTATTAGGCAGCGCCCAATTGTCCATTTGACTACGTCTCCTAACTGAAAATGGTCTCCCACATCCCGTTTCGGTGTGCTGACCAACCTCCAACAATTTGGGCATACAGATTTGCATAGAACGTTCCCTAATATTTTCATGCATCTCCATTCTAGACGCGGGGACGATACCGAGATCGACTACACGAGTGATATAGTCAAGCTGAACAATAGTTCCATCTTAACACCGACAAGACCTCAGCTGTATATGAAGACATCTGGTGCGAGAATTTCGTCCGGGACGCTGGATGATCGAACACTGAGACTGACTTAATCAGCCTGAAGTGAAGATGTGATATTTGGCATGCTGTCTCGCTAACTACCGAGGCCATTGACCGACTTCCCGTCTTCTTCTTCCGCCCATCCATCGCCTTCGATGCATCGGCTGATCTTCAACCAAAATGAGCCCTTGTTATGATGTGCCGTAATGCGGTACAGGTTTCGAAACAAACCAATAAAGGGTAGTATCCGGAACAATGCATGTGTCTGTCCTCTTAGTCCCACAGACCTCTTATAGCTGGGTAAATCGTGACATGATAATCATGTACCCATGTTAATGCTACTTTCCACTCGGTATGCCACGGCATATTATGGGAATGCTCTCAATATGGAAATATGAGGCCGGCTAACTCATTGTGCGGTGTGTCGGAACCTTCCTCCCCGACCACGCAAGAGTAAGTGTCGTAATAGGCGGCATCGAGGAGGGACCCAGATATAAAACTGATTCCAGGCGGCTTTTATGTTTCTGAACGAGAGCTTCCTAGTACACACTCCTTCTTCGGCTAAGTGTCATCAAACTTGACCTCTCCTAAGTTTTGATTATCACCTTTATCATGCGTCCCTTGATTCTCGGTGCCGTTCTTCTGGCTCTTGGGCCCCAGGGTGTATTTGCCCACCCTGGCCATAACATTAACGAGGAGTTGCTCGAGCGTCGGTCTTTTCTTCAGTCCATCGAGCACAGATCTCTCGCCCATTGCGCCCCCAAGCTGAAAGATCGCGGGATCCATGAACGTAATGTCGCCCGTCGTGCGGCGCTGTTGGAGCAACATCGAGAGAAGCGTAAGTCAAGCTGCCACCGGCCTGTGACCCTGTCTCATCATCCATGGACTTTGACTGCCAACTTCCTGCAAAGTCCTGTGCTGCGTCTGTCTTCTCCGATACTAATAGCCTTTGGACTCAAAAAGGCGGCTTGAAGAAACGACAGGTTGATGATCCGCTCAACACCGACCACAACAGAACGGACCTCGGTTACACGCCCGATACTGACCCGGAGACTCTCTTCGCCGGGCAAAACTCCTGCGTACTTACACCCGATGTCACCCAGGGTCCCTACTGTGAGCCATGCTTCCCAAGGGGTCAACTGAAGAAGGAGCATCCTCTTCTCCCTGTACCCATCAGACAGAAGTCTGCCACTAACGTCGTCTGAAACACTAGATGTTGGTGGGGAATACGTCCGAACCGACGTCGTCGAGGATCAACCCGGAGTGGGGCTTGTACTGGACTATCAGGTCATTGACGTCGAGACCTGCGATCCCATTCCAGACGTCTACCTGGAGATATGGCACTGCAATGCCACGGGTGTCTACTCGGGCGTCGTGGCTTTCGGCAATGGTGACCTGTCAGATGAAGACAACATCAACCAGACCTGGCTTCGCGGCATCCAGCCGACGGATGAGGATGGCGTTGCGCAGTTCGAGACCATCTTCCCGGGCCACTATGCCGGTCGTGCCACCCATATCCACCTCTTGGTACACACCAACGCAACCCTTCACGAGAACAATACGCTGGGCAACGAGGTCTACGCAAGCCATGTCGGACAAGTCTTCTTTGACCAGGCCCTTATTGATACAGTCGAAAAAGAGGATCCTTACCCTCTGAACAGACAGGCGCTGACGCAAAATGCTGACGACTGGTTCCTGCTTGAGGAGGCCATCGTGGACGGTGTGGACCCCTTCATGGAATACGCACTACTCGGCGACCGTATCTCGGACGGCATTTTCGGCTGGTTGGCTTTTGGTATCAACATGACCCATACGCGAAGCATTACCCCGGCTGTTCTTCTGTACGAAGAAGGAGGGGTTAGGAATCCCGACGCCGCCCCTCCTTTTCCTCCTTTCCCCGGGCCTCCGCCTACCGGAAGCAACATTGATGACGAAACAACTGACGCTAGCTAAGTAGGCTGCTCGTTTCAACATAAGCTGTCCTTGACCAATTTCTTTGTCTTGGGCGAGATTGTTGTTTTTAAGACTTTCCAAGATTGAGAGGGTTCGAGTAACAATATATTAACATTTAAACTGTACAAACATGGTCTTCGTACTTGTTATGGGAGGTGCCTTGAGGCTTAGCCATTATCAAGCATGCTGACGGTCGCTGAATCTTATAGTAGCTCGTTGTTAGTCTGGAAGTTTATTCACGTTGAAAGAGACCTTCCTGCGTATATTCAGAAGCCATCTTGGTGACTATTCTAACTTAATCACTGATTCTCGAAATACAATGAGGATGAATCAACCCGAGTTATCAACACTAAGTCCTAGCCCATCCATCACTCAGCCAATGCTCGGAATGCAATCCACCCTGCCACATCTCTAGTGGGTATACGCTATGGATATAGAGCTCGCTAAGGGGCTTGCAACACACACTGCATCGCATATAGCAGTGCGATGCAAGAAATTCGAGAGGCTACACTGACTCCCAGAGCTGAGCTCGTGCAAGTATCAGAAAAGACAATCTACATAGCAAGCCATAATTTCATACAATAGGCAACTTATAGTCGAAGAGGGGCCTTGACGGAAACTAGGCTAGATGAGTAATAGTTATGGAAGACGATGGCAAATACTATTCTGACTTCCACGACTACGGTCAGCCTCCCAGCGGAAGTCGCGGTATAATTCAGGTGCTATCCCCTTTGTATGTTCTCGACTTATACCTGGGGAGCGGAGCCAAGTGCTCCGAAGAAGCAAGGTAAAGCCCTCACGATGGTGAGAAACAATCACACTTGCTGCGCGGGAACAAGAGTTCCGCCCAGCAAGTCGTCCAGGAGAATTGGCTTATGACAGCACTTGAGGGCTAGAACAGTCTCACTCATGCAGGAATTCCCCCTTCACTCGGCTTCGACTTTGTGTACATACGTCTGGCCGGCTATGTATATGCCAAAAGGGACCTCCAAGAGTAACTGGCCCGGGTTGCTATGTGTCGGCTAATCGTGCAACACCAAAATATCACGGGGAAACCAGAGTGATAGAGGCTTATACACGCGATGAGCGGGTTGAGGCTGGTATTGCCATACCTCGGGATACTGAGAATTACTTATGTCACCTCGGCGATGGTGGTTATACATCCAGAAAAGCAACCGGAATTACCCTGAGTATGCGATTTGATAGCATTAGAGAAGTAATACCCAAAGCACTCAACAAGTCATAGGATATCCGATACCAGCCAGATTATATAATTAGAGAAATACCTATAACAAAGCAGTCTGCGTTGCAACTGTCAAATGCCAAGTTCACCAGGGGCATTCCTTATCTATATATACTTCGTAAGTATCTTTTAGGAAGGATTCTTGTTTGTTTCTATTACTAATACGGCCGGGTGGCTCTAGCTTTCGGGATGCGTTTCTCGCTCCGTCGGACTATTATAGGAGACAACATAAAAGGGATGATGACCAGGTGAAAGAAACCAAGAAGTGCACGACTCCATATGAAGAGAGACATGGGGATAGAAATATGTAACTCCGTTTCTCTTCTATAAAGCAGGTTACAGGTTACACATCACTCTGCAGTCGAACTACCAGGGTCTGGAGAAAGAGCACATACCTACTTTCGTACTGGGAAACCAGAAGTCGGCCCACTTCGTCAACTCTACCTGCAACCTCACCCCGCGGGGGTTCCTGTGTTATTTGCGATATGTTGAGTTAATGCCGTGTCATGCCATATCATATAAAAGTGTGCCGCTACATTATTTAGTGAGAATTTTGCACCGGGATTAGATATAGATTACCTTCTCACCACGTATTAGACAAAACAGAATAGGTACGATCATGCCTTCGGGTGTACAGTTCTTGTAAGACACTTATTCATCGAGATTTTCATATCTTCAGTCCCTCAGTACCTCATAAAGGCACTATGCCGCTTGCCCAGGCCCAGGCCATAGTGCCCCCCTACAGGTATGTGTATAGAATAGTACGGAACTCCACGTTAAGACCGTCTCTTTCGGGACCACGGAACGGACCCTTGGACTCCGCGTGGGCTGGGACATTCTTGGCGTCCGGGGTGCCGAAGACATCTTAACTCTACCGTTGTAATTGGCGCGCTTACTAGACCCTAGTCCGCCGCTGTCTTGGTCTCTGACGTCTGAAAAAACAGGGATGTCGCTATTTCGGCGTTAGTTATTTTGGACAGGAAGATGCACTTTGTATGTTGGGAATAGGTACCTACCTTCGGTCCTAAGGTGATCGACACTTGACGCTGAATGGAAGGGTGGTTCGGGCAGTGTCACACTGTCTATACCCGCCTCTTGTCGTGACACTTCACCTTTTTCAATGCTGGTGTTGATTACTCAGCCATAGAAAGCGGCACGACTGAACGGACCTGAGCCCTTTCCCCTTTTGGCTTTCTTTGGCCCCTGAGCCCCTGAACCCCTTGGCGTTCCTGGATTGGTCAGTCACTTCGGACCACGCTACGGAGCACACACACACACAACCTGAACCATTCCCAACCCCCCCCTTTTTTTTTTACCTGGCTGAAGCGTCGTGGGATTCGAATCGCAATAGACACGGTATTGCAATCCTGATCTCTAACCTTACGGAGTAGATGCTTCTCCCGCCCTTTATATCGTAGAGAGAATGTCTATTGTACGTACGGTTATACCGTGCCAGTTACGAGTAACGACTAACGAGTTCTATTCTGTATCTCTTCGAACGATTCGAATGTGAATATCCACGGAAGCTAGCCCCCTTAGAGGAACGCCGTGGCATTTGGCGGTCTGCTTCACAGCTACTATACTCTACGGGCATGTTGGATAAGACACGGACCAAATGGCAAGGGAGGTGTGGTATTTAATATCGACATCCAGGCAATACGGCGCATTTGCCATATGGGCTTCTGCAGAGTCCGATGGCGTGACCCGGGATAGAAGTTTTCGCGCGGCTTCATTGCCCGATCCGTCGGAAACAACGATGCATGATGACCACGTTGTCACGACGTTAGGCGGCTTGACAGAGGATGAACCAATAGAAGGTACTGTAAACCGAAAGACAAAGCGTCAAGAGGTGGATGGCGTCAACATTCAAGAAGCACTTTCCCTTTCTTGAACGAGACATTTAACGACATCCGAAACAAGGACTACGGAGTACCGGTGCTAACCTGTACCAGACCCCTGTGAGATAACCCTGTATGTCTTAAGGACACCGATTGGGTCTCTCAGTAATTAATACTCCAGGACAGGTACTTCTATCACCAATAGGAGAACTGCCGATCTTTGCTTCAAGAGCAGGAGTAATATACTCCGTATCTATCTAACCGAGTACGACGGTGCTCGTACTAATTATGGTAATACGATATAGAGTACCTTATCGCTGGTCATAGACACTGTCCCTATGACCATGTGTCTCTTAGACCTCGGAGGACCAAGAAGTCAAGAACTAAGAACCAAGAACCAATGCACCCCGGTCGAGCTTCGGTTTTTGGCTATCCCCCTTGGTTGATGTTTTAACATTTTACCTGGTTCTGTAAACGCATCAGCCGTTGCCTCCCCCACACGCCCATGTCTAATCCGTGGTTGTCGTGGTGCCTTGGGGCCACCGGTCAACCAGTCCAACGGCGCAGCTGCAGAGTGGCCGCAGGTGATAAGAAAAGCGGGTCAGGGTCAGCCTTCATGGGTTAGTTTCAACTTCGTCTCAGCGGTCTTAACCTTATCCCTACTTCGTATATACCTCGGCAGAGTCGGCACATCTGGTCCAAGAATCTTCATCAACACTCACGACAAGCAAAATTCTCTACGTACTCCGACAATTTAAGGGGAGGGTCGTCGGCTCGACTGCCCAATGCTCTCCAATGCTCTCGTATGCCATATCAATGCCACATTCCGTTTATTTTTTACCCACGTCAAGAATACTACTCTTTTGTCTTAATCTTGGTCAGTAGTGTGCCGCTCGGAGAACCTCCTTCCGCCCCCCTTGCCAGCCTTATTGACGAACTTCTCGGCACTTGGGTGTGCGAGCACTAGAATAGCATCGTACACCTACCCAAGTCGAGCACCCAGCCTCCCGTCGATGGAGATTCCTTAAGGCATGGTACTGGTAGCGCCGGAGCATCCACCCGTGTAATCCGTACCACGAAGTGCTTGGCTCGGGTCAGGTCGGTAAAGTACGAATACGTGATCCTGTCCTCTGCGAATCACGCGGGGTGCATGTGCATGGAAGGCTGTAACCAGACCAAGACACGGGACTCCCTTTCTAATTACGGGGTACCCCACACATTCCTACCAAGACATCGTTCGTCCGTACATGGTAGTCCATGTTACAGAGGATTACTTGGTAATACTTCGTACTTGTTGAGTTGCTCTGCCAAGAAAGGATCAAACAAGCACGAGTGACTTGTATTCAAGGGTGTTTGTGGCAGCTTGTGGTCCTGACCAGGTTACCAACTTCCTCCACTTGGCCAATCACGTCAGGCTGAAGACATCCACGCTTTCAAACGCTCTTCAGATATCATCGTCTTGATTTTATGACATCGGAAGTAGAACGTAGCCCAGCCGAAAGACTCTCGTGAAGCCCAACACAATGCACCTGATAACCCTCCATGATGCTTCATAGCCGCACCATTGGCAGAGAAGAGGATTAACAACTCGTCGCGAGTATCGTGGGGATGCTCCGTCGAAAGACTTGACTGCCTTGTCTGGTTGACGGAGGCATATATTCCTCGGCCGAACAAGAGGTCAACCCCGTCTTGGCACCTCCCTCCAGGCTCCATACGTCCTATCGCTTTGCGATCGAGAAATGGCTCGTGCCGCGGATTGTGTACGAAGTAGTGGGTTTGTTTTCCGTCCCAACCGAAAACTATAAAGACCCCGGCTTGCGCTCCCCGAATGACGACCGTATCCCTGAGTCGATCAGGCCCATCACATCCTCTGCCGACCTTTCCTTATCCCTCACACTCCCCCCCGGAGCCTACAATGAAGATCTCTCTTGCCGCCGTGGCGGCTTGGGGCCTTATGGCTCAGACCGCCACCGCGCATTACGTCTACAGTATCCTGCAGATCAACGGCCAGGACACCCGTGACTGGCAGTACGTCCGCCAGAACTCCAACAACATCCAGCCCCAGAAGGAGTTCCTCCAGCCCAGCGACGACTTCCGCTGCAACTCCGGCTCCTTCGCCAATGCCGGCCGCACCGAGGTCGCCCGTGTCTCCCCCGGCACGCGGGTCGGCTTTAAGCTCTGGAACCGCGGTACCATCATCCACCCCGGTCCCATGACCATTCATATGTCCCGCGCCCCGGGTGACGTTCGCCAGTACCGTGGCGACGGCCAGTGGTTTAAGGTCTACGAGGATATTATCTGCGGTCCTATGAACCCCCTCCGCGATACCGATTGGTGTAGCTGGGGCAGGGCTAATGTCGAGTTTACCCTCCCCGCCGATACCCCGCCCGGCCAGTACCTCGTCCGCGTTGAGCACATCGCTATCCACGGCGCCCAGTCCGGCGACACCGAGTTCTACTTCACCTGCGCCCAGATCGAGGTTACCGGTAACGGTAACGGCAACCCCGGCCCTCTCGTCCGCATTCCCGGCCTGTACAACCCCAACGACCCCGCCCTGCGTTTCTTCATCTACGGTGCCCGCGAGTACCCTTACAATCAGGTCGGCTCCCACGGCGTCTGGCGCGGTGGCGGTGGCGGCAGCCCTGCTCCCGGCCCCTCTCCTCCCCCTTCGGGCGGCGGCTCTGCTATATGGGAGCAGTGCGGCGGCAACGGCTGGGACGGCCCGCGGACTTGCCGTGAAGGTACTTGCCGAGTTGTCAACGAGTGGTACCATCAGTGCCAACCCTAAGCTGTGAGCACATGCAGGAAAACGACAGTGTATGTGGGAAGAGAAACATGATCTCTTGCCACATACACATACACTCACGCAGGAGGCAGGAAGTGGGAGGTGGGAGATAGGAAGCAGTGGGATTGGACGGCATTCGATTCGAGGAGAATATATTTGATGGCTGGGCCGAGCTTGGAGATGCGAACCATCAATGTGGATTCCTGTACATAGGTAGTCAATGAAGAAATGAAGGAAACATGTGAGGTTCTTCGCCGTCGAACTTTGCGCCGCCGCCTACATGTAGGTTATCCCCTGTGAGAACAAGAGCCGTTCTGAGCACGGGAAGTGTTGTGTGTGGTTGCGAGGAGGCTCGAACAGGGCCCAAGATCGTCGTGATCAACAAGGGAGATGTGACGTACCGACAGGTAAAGATCGGGAGGTTGTACGAATAAAGAAGCTGATCAGCGGATCGACAAGTCGAAGCATTTTCGCGGAGCTGCACGATGTGATGGTCCCGACGTCGGTACCGAGTGTTGGGATGGCCTCGAGTCGAGGTGTGCTCTTTGAAAGAGCTTGTCCATGGGAAAAGAACAAAAAAGGACAGAAAGAAAAAAGGGGGGAGAAAACGGGAGAGAGATCACGTGCAAGAAGTCCTTTACGTAATACACTCACTATGCGGGTCATCTTCGGTTTATTGCAGGGTTCATTTCCATTGCAGAAGTACTCCCTGCTCCATACCTCAGTCCCATTGACATGAAGTTCTAGATACTTCTACTTGATTCGTGATTGGTCGCTTCTACGAAACAGAGCACGATTTGTTCCTGGCGATGTATTCAAAACAACCAAGTTCTCTGCCAATATCTTCTTGCACTGCTTCCATTCTCAAGATTGTTCAACAACCACAGTATGACTCGTTCCTCTCGGATTGCCAGTAGAGCAGTGAGACTTCTCAGGCAAGACTATCATCATCGCCGGAACCAGCCGAACTTCATCTCCGGCATCACCTCTACCTCTACCTCCACCTCTCCCTCTCCCTCTCACATCACGTCTCGAACCATGAGTTCAAGTTCGGATCAACCGTCATCCTCATCATCTTCACCACCACCGTCAAAGTCGCAGCCCCTCGCGCTCCCTTCCACGAGCGACGCCAGGGACAATGGCAGCAACACGACGACAATCAACAGCGGCACCACCGTCAGCATGGACGCCATGGGTCCGGTGGTAGTCAACGTGGACGGAACCATGTCCAGGATCAACAACTGGGGGGAAATGAGCGAAATTGAGAAACAAAACACTCTGCGCATCCTCGGCAAGCGCAATCGAGAACGCCGAGCAGCCTTACTCGCCAAGGAGAAGGCGGAGACTGGGGGCCAAGAATCGCGAGGACTCGGGAGCACGCGAAAATCACCAGGCATAGACGTGACAATAAAAGGCTGGACTCTGTGCAGTGTGGGGTGAGCTGGGTGAGCTGGATGGGATGAACTGGTTAGCTCATATTTTGGCATTTCTGCATGCACTGCACAGCGTACCTTATACCCGAGTGTAAAATGGCATGCACCTTGGAATTATTTGATGGTATTGGCCAATTGACTGCATATATTTACAAAGTACACCTTATTTTGCGTCTACCCATACATAGACACGCACCTGCTTGGCCTTGAGATGGTGAACCAATAATGGGGGTTGGGTGCCGTAAGGACTTATGATGCTCCCAATGCTCAGCCACTCAATCAGGCAGAAGGCAACATCATTTGATCAGGCATCCATTGCCACTGGACCGATTGAAAGAAGAGAGAAAAAAGAAAGAGGCCTCTTGGTACAAGTATCCCATTCGGCCCCCCTCCCAACGCGATAATAAATTGCGTTCCTTAGCATCCTCACACTCGCTACGATTAAATAGCAGAAGACAGACTGAGGTCACCGAAACGATCAATCCATCAGTCAATCATGTCCTCTCCTTCTGGGCAGGCCAACGGCGGCCAGCTCTCCTCACGGCAATCGCGTATCGTCGGGGCCCTCCTCGGCCTCCACGCCGGAGATTGCCTGGGCGCGACAGTGGAGTTCCTGCCGCGGGTGATGATCGCCCGATCATACCCACAGGGTGTGCGCGACATCATCGGCGGGGGCCATTTTGACTGGTCTCCAGGCCACGCCACGGACGATACGGACATGACGCGCGGCGTCCTCCTCGCCTACAAGACATTACACGATGCACGGACAGAGGGCACACGCGACAGCAATTCCACCATGACGAATGGCGAGGGCGCCGACCTGGACGTCGCACGGCTCGCGGGGGAGAACTTCCTGCGCTGGGTGGACGGGGAATGGCCCGACCGGACGCCGGGATGGCTTCCCAAGGACATGGGCGGCGCAACGGCGCGTGGACTGGAACGATACCGGGTCTCGAGGGATCCCGAACGCGCCGGGGCCGGTCAGGGCAGTGCGGGCAACGGTAGTCTTATGCGCTGTCTGCCCACGGCTCTGTTCCAGCCCGACCGTCACAAGATGATCGCCGAAAGCATCCGAATCAGCAAGATCACCCACGACGACTTCAGATGTACCACGGCCTGCGCTGTGTACAACTCAATTGCTGCGGCGCTTATCGACGGAGTGTCGGTCGAAAATGCCGTGGATCATGGAGAAGCGGTCGCCATTCGCCTGGAGAGGAGAATGGATGGTCCAGTCATGCAGGCTGTGAGGAGGGGCCGCCAGGTTGATGTCGCCGACATGGCCGCCAACGGTGCACCGATCGACATGGAGGGTGAGTGCAGCGGTTACGTCCTCGAGACGTTGACGGTGGCGGTGGCGGCTGTGCGAGATGCCAGGAGTCTCGAGGATGTCTTGGTAGACGTGGTACGCATCGGCAGGGACACGGACACGAATGCCGCGGTGGCGGGGGGGTTGTTGGGAGCCAGGGATGGGGAAGATGCCATTCCCACGCGCTGGAAGGAGAAGTTGCAGTTTGGGAAAGAGTTTCGAGAGGTGGCGCTGGCGATGGCGACGGCATGATTACGTGATTGTCTAAGGTACTTGGTACTCGGTCTCGGTACTTGATAAAGCCCGATGTTTCGACGAAGGCTATGACGTCGACAAGGCTTTGTCATCCGTCTACGAGTAGGTCTACGAATAGGTACCGACGTAAAAGACACCAAAATATTTAAGACAATATGATAGTTAGTATCTATAAAACAAGATATTAATTTGATGGATTGGCAAAGTGGTTGCCTGGGGAAAATCGTTCATTTCTTTTATTAATTAATAAAAATAAAAATACAAGAAGAAGAAAAAACTGCCAGCCCGGATATCCACGGCATTCATAGACTGTACCCGGGCACCGCGTGGCTCAGACATGGCCAAGCCAGGGGTTTAAGCTGGCCTTAGCTAAGCGGCCGCGTCCGTCAACCCGTCCCACCCTCCGAACTTGCATTGTCCAATCGTACAATCATGTTAGCCCGACCGTCCTACCGGATCCGCCCGTGGATCGTCAAGAAAAAAATCTTTTCAACCACTTTTCAACCACTTTTTGCCATTTCCCCCCCTTCCCATCTCAGCTTGGCCACCATTTCATCGTTCCAGAATTCTTCTTTTCTCTTGGCTCGCGCCTACGTCGGTATGAAGCTAGCCCATTCGCTGAACAATGTGTGAAGAACGTACCTATACGCCAACAAGGTGACGGAGACCCTCTTAGTCTTCACCAATACGACTCCCAAAGTCTCATACTTTTCCGACCTACCGAACCAAAAAGCCGAGGTCTCGATCTTTAACGGGGGGGCGGTGGAGCTCGAAACTCTCGTAGAGTTTGTGCCACAAAAAATATGGTGGAGCTATTTAGATTCAACATGCGCCCTCGATCTTTGTCGTCAGGACTGTCGGAGATGTTCTGTTTCACTCGTGGACGATACGATTTTGTCAGAGTACCTTTGACCTGTAGGCTGTGGCGTATAAGCCTCGAAGGATACGAGGGAACGAGAGGACGTGCCCCACAACCCAAATCGGCTCCGACAGTCCGCCATTCCGATCTTTTCGGCTCCGAGTAACGAAACCCATCGATTATATCCATACCGATCTGACGACTCGGGACTCGACGCACCTCGACGCACTCCTTTACACTTTCGATCCTCACACAGTCGACATGTTCTCCGAAAAGACGCCACGAGCCAGCTCCGTCGAACGGAGCGGTCCGCCTTCACTGGGGGAGCCTAACCTCAAGGCCGATCTCGAGGTCGCCGACGATGCTGGTCTTCAGCGACACCTGCGAGCACGCCACTTGCAGTTCATCGCAATAGGTACATTTCCCCTCTTTTCCCTTCCCCTTCATCCCAACAAGAAGAAAGAAGCCATTTCTAACATGGATGCGATCGATTCCCAGGCGGCACCGTCGGCACAGGCCTCTTCCTCGGCACCTCATCCGCCCTCTCCGAAGCCGGCCCCGTCGGCGCCCTCATCGCCTTCATTTTCATCGGCACCGTCGTCTACTCCGTCATGACCTCCCTCGGCGAGATGGCCACCTACATCCCCGTCGCCGGCTCCTTCACCGCCTACGCCACCCGCTTCGCCCACCCCTCCTTCGGCTTCGCCATGGGCTGGACCTACTGGTTCTCCTGGTCCGTTACCTACGCCCTCGAACTGGTCGCCGCCGGCCTCATCATCCAGTACTGGGACTCCGGCCTCAACGTCGGCATCTTCATCGCCGTCTTCTGGGTCGTCTTCACCGCCCTCAACTTCCTGCCCGTGCGCTGGTTCGGCGAGATCGAGATGTGGTTCTCCATGATCAAGGTCGTCACCATCGTCGGCTGGCTCATCTTCGCCGTCTGCATCAACGCCGGCGTTGGTGACGAGGGCTACCTCGGCTTCAAGTACTGGGAGTCTCCCGGCCCCTTCGTCGAGCACATCGTCCCCGGGTCCGTCGGCAAGTTCGTCGGCTTCTGGGCCACCCTCGTCATCGCCGGCTTCAGCTTCCAGGGCGCCGAGCTCGTCGGCATCGGCGCCGGCGAGGCCCACGACCCCCGTCGCAGCGTACCGCGCGCCATCCGCAACACCTTCTGGGGCATCTTCGTCCTCTTCGTCGCCACCGTCTTCTTCATCGGCACCCTCGTGCCCTCCAACGACCCCGCCCTGCTGAACGAGAGCAAGAACGCCAACGCCTCGCCGCTCGTCATCGCCGCCAAGCGCGCCGGCGTCGACATCCTCCCCGACATCATCAACGCCGTCCTCCTCACCGCCGTGCTCTCGGCCGCTAATTCCAACGTCTACTCGGGCAGCCGCGTCCTCATCGCCCTCGCCGAGGGCGGCGTCGCCCCCAAGTTCCTCACCAAGACCAACAGCCACGGCACCCCCTATTACGCCGTCGGCATCACCGCCTCGATCGGTCTGCTGGCCTTCCTCAACCTGAGCGCCGATGGCGGCAAGGTCTTCGACTGGCTCCTGAACATCATCGCCGTCGCCGGTTTCGTTACCTGGAGCGGCATCTGTGTGTGCCACCTTCGCTTCATGGCCGCCCTCAGGGCCCAGGGCATCGACCGGAGCACTCTGCCCTATACCGCGCCGCTACAGCCTTACCTTGCGTGGTACGGGCTCTTCTTCACCTTCCTCATCCTGTTGACCAACGGCTTCACCGTGTTTATCGATTGGGACACGAGCAGCTTTTTCGCCAGTTATGTTTCCCTCGTGCTATTTGTCGTGCTCTTCGTCGGCCATAAGCTCATTACCAAGAGCCATCACGTTAGGCTGGTTGACGTTGACCTCGTCAAGGGAAGGATCGAGTTGTAAGGATGTTTGTCTACATTTCACTGAAAATACCGGGAACATGGAGGTTTGTTTTGAAACTGTATTATGAAACGGGACTCAAAAGCATTGGGCAAGGAAACGGAAGCAATAATGGGGAGTCGGGATAATTGTGTTCAAGTAGACATCAGGACTCGGGAGACATGCACGGCCATTGGTTATGGGATAGAAAAAAGATACCCTCCTTTCAACAACATCGCTTCTTTCTGCTTCGACGCTTTGGAATGTTCTTAAACAGTCATAATGCGTACCACGACAAGCTTGGGCTGTTGTTAACTTGTTATGGGGATTGGGAGACAGAGCAGTGGAAAGGCGAATAAGACGGGCTGATATTCACCCGCACTAAGACTCGGCGGCATCTCAGAAAATGCAGTGCCGTCCCCTGTGGGCCCTCTGAATACCGCCCATCGCTATGCTCTTTTAGGCAGCTGAGTGCCCTATCCCTGCCCTGTTTCGTGTCTCGAGACGGCAAGACAAGCCACTGTCGATCGTCGTGGCAGATCATGAACCCCAAGCGGCTCTTGTCTCCATCAGACCCGTGGGATCGACGCTCGCCTGCCATCCTCGTGGAGTGTGAGGCAGACAAATGCGCGCCGATCTTTTTAAAATGTTGTCTACTAATATGGGGTCGTGCCCGTGACGATTCTGCCGCATCTGTGCTCAGCTGTGTCTGCTTCTCACAGCACTTGCACGCCGCTCGCCCTAGTCGTTACGGCGACGACCTGTTTTAACCCGCAACATGAGACTGTATCCGGCCCTCGGGCCCTTTTTGCTCCTGGCAGCCCGCGTCGCTGGCCAGGCCCTCGACAGCGAAATCGAGAACATTCTATCCAGACCAACTTTCGCCGACGCCACAGTCGGAGTTAAGATCCGGGATCTCAGTATCGACGAAGTAATCTACACCCTTAATGAAGACGTCTCCCTTACGCCAGCTTCCAACCAGAAACTCGTAACCTCCACCGTGGCACTTGCTAATCTGGGCCCCGACTTTGTCTACAACACGACGGTCGTCGCGACCTCAGCAATAGGCACAGATGGCACCCTCGACGGCGACCTCTGGCTGGTCGGATCAGGCGACCCGTCCCTGAACTCCAGTCGGCTAGCAGATATAGCCAAGGAGATCGTCGAACAGACGGGACTGAAGAAGATCACGGGTCGCGTGTACGGCGACGGTACCGTCTTCGACCGAGACCTCCTCCCGGTGGGCGTCCACCCCGACGACGAGGCACTCTACTACGCCGGTCAGGTGGCCGGTCTCAACTGCGACATCAACGTCGTCTATGTCACCGTGGCTCCGGGCGATGCCGTCGGCGATCCTGCCAAGGTGACGGTGAACGGGCTAGCACTGGAGGACGAGGCGTACGTGGAGATCCGATCCAGCGTCGACACGGTCGAGGCCGGCACAGGCCAAGGCGTCTCGTTTGACAGGTTGAGCGGAACCAACACCATCGTTGTGGTGGGATCTCTGTCGCTCGGTATCAACCCACCGGCGTACCTGACTGTTACGATTCACGACCCCACCGCCTACGCAGCGTATCGGTTTGCCCTCGCTTTGAAGGATGCGGGTGTAGATGTCTCCAGAATGCCGACCGAGCCGAAGGAGGCACCGGATGATGCGACTCGGACGCAGCTTGCTTCATCCACTTCGGAGCCGCTGTCCGAGATTCTCAAGCACTTTCTGAAAAACACCGACAATGTGTACGGCGAGGTTCTCCTCAAGACGCTCGGAGTCGCAGCAGATCCCGACACGCCGGGGAGCCGCGAGGGGGGCGTCGGAGCCGTGCGGGCATACCTAGACGAGGAGGCCATCGACACCTCCGGGGTGGAGACAGTGGATGGATCGGGCTTGTCGCATTCGAATGACCTGACGGCGCGGTTCCTCGACAACCTTCTCCTACATAACCGCAGGTCGGTTCCAGAAGAGGAGTGGGACGTTTTCTTCGATGCTCTCGCCATTGGTGGGGTGGATGGGACGTTGAGCGGGCGGTTCGTCGAGACCCCTCTGGTGGGCAAGGTCCGCGCGAAAACCGGCACGCTCTCGGGTGCCTCGGCTCTGTCTGGCTATCTCTCAGCAGAAGGCGACAAGGAGTACATCTTTTGTATCCTGATGAACGGCTTCACTGATGCCACGGAGGCTCGGCAGGCGCAGGACGACATCGTGACGGCTTTGTACAATCCAGAAACATGTCATAGATAAGACCTAGCTAGAGGCTGGGTATGTGAAGAGGACAGGCTGTGCGACGTGTTGTCCCTTACCTGCGGGCACTTCACGGGCCTGGCCCAAGCCCAACGCGAGAAATTGATGCAACGGTTCGTGCGGCCATGCTTAAAAAAGCAAGCAAAGGGCCCCATACTTCCCATTAGGTTATATACTTATATGACAGACTTGCCAACAATTGCAGTGAGGAGACGGACGTCGCCGTCCGTCCACCAGGTTGGCTTTGCCCCGTTTTCTTCACAACAGTCTGGTGAATATTGTGTGCACCTGCCCTTAGTAGGCGGCAGCAATGCAGGCCAAAGCGACGATACCAGTGGCAAGGATGCTAGCGACCGTGCCGCGGTTAGCAGCCGAACCGTCATCACCGTTCCCGTTGTCGCTCTCGCCAGCATCCTCCCCGTCGTCTCCATTATTATCCTCCTCCTCATCTTCCGAGTCGGTGCCGGTCGGTGCGGGCGTCGGGGTCTCGGACGGGATCTCGGACGGGGCCGCGGTGGGCTCCGAGTCGCCCACTCCGCCCGTGATGGCGAGGGCAAGGTCGCTGCAGTAGTGCGCGACAGGGTAGGAGAGTTCAAGCATCGGTTCACCCCAGCATCCCTCCCAAATGCTCCGGTATACAGTATAGTGCCTCTCGACGAAGGAGGTATAGGACGAGGCCCACTCGGAGAACGGCCCGGCAAGGGCGACGTCGGTGACGGCGGGCAGCTCACAAGTGTCGGCTGTGTTGTAGAACTCGCCGAGCATGTAGGACGTGGCGAGATCGCGAAGGTCGTCGTCCTCTGGGAGGACAACGAGCTCGTCCTCGAATAAGGTGGGAATACTTTCGAAAGCAGACTGGCAAGCGTCCGGATCGTAAGCTTGCGTTGGGGTGGGTTCGGCCTGTGCGGCGACCCCGGCGACGAGGGCGGTGATCAGAAAGGCGGCTTGGGCATACATGTTGGCTATTTTTCAACGTTGTCTTTGTCTTTTGCTGATGCAAATTGTGGCTTGCAGGGCTATGTAAGGTTTGAGATGAGGTCCCGGGAAAATGCAAAAGAGCGACTGAGGACGCGAACGAATGTAAATCGGAGATAGAGACACGATGGAGAGAGGGAAAGGGAAAGGGGAAGGGGAAGGGGAGGGCGGATTTCTGGAACCGGAACTAGAGATTCATCATTCATTATGTACGCGGAAACGCTTTTCAGGTCAGGGTCGAATCCAACCCAATCTGCACAGTGGAGAGATGGATGTCGTAGGTTTATCGGGAAATACCGAGGATGCATGCGAGGTGATTTGGTCTTCACGGGCCCCTTTTTCTCTTGGTTTGCCTATTCCGTCCTACCGCGGAGTGGTTAGCGCTTGTGTAACACCCAGCCCCTTTACCCCGTGCCTTTGCCCCTTTTGAATTTTCCATTCGTTTTACTCCCCTGGTTCGTGATTTATCCGCCTCAACTCTCTTTACAGAGTCCCTATTGCAGCAGTGCTGGGTGAAAACTAGCCGTTAGGCAGGGGTTGCAATATCCGCACCGGAGTGTACCGTTGTAAGTAGGATTGAGACCCCTGTCCTTTACCATGCCGCCTAATCTTACAGTACCGTCAGAGGGAAGCAAGACATCACTATTAATTACATGCTGGCTACTGTTTCTAGCGAGTGGTTGCGTGTCATTCGACTCATGTTTGGACATGACGATGACGATTGCCCTCGACGCTCAACATCGAAACCCGTTCCCCAATCCACAGATAGGATCGAAGCCAAGCCCATCCCCAGCTTAGGCCAAGCCTATGGCTGTCCACTCGCTTCCGCATCCCTCCCCCACGCAGTGATGTTTCCCCGCTGTCGTCATCTATTTTTGTAATGGATCCCCACAGCCAGATATCTCCTTACCGGCCGAGTGGCCCGAGTCATTGAAGTCACGACACGGCGGCCACTGCAACGGCATCGGCACGGCCCATAGCAGGGTCAGAACATCGAGTGGCGCTAGACCCGGAGGACGGGGAAGCAGAGTACACCGTACCCGGCCGCTGCGACGCAGGTTCACGGAGCAGGGGTTCTCGTCTCGGTCAATCGCCCAGTGCGTTCACCGAGTACGGAGTGCGGACGGCGGACTCTTCGATTGGGCGCTGGACTGGGACCACAATGACGCCACCACGCGGATGCCACGGACCGGCGCAACGTTGATAAGTTCAAGTTCCTCGTGGCGGGGAGACGCGATGCCGTTATTAGTGGCAACGACCGCGCAACCGCGCTCCCGATGTCACGGAGCTGCCGACGACGGTGGTCTTGAGTCGCGGCATGTCGCAGTCTGCTTTTGTTGACGGCGTGCGTCAGGGCCATGTCTTACCTCGTTAAGGAGCTGGAGATGACCATCATGTTGACAGTTGGTCGACCTGGAGGAGAGGAGCAACTTTTCCATATCCGTCATATTGGTCAGACGGTGAAGGAGCAGATATTGCTAACGCCGAGGCCAAGTTAAAGCTTGTTGGTTTTGGCAGGAACGGGACCGTTGTCAGCCGGTCTCTGAAGAGGATATCACTCCAACGTCACTCCAAGCACTGATGAAGATACTCTGACCCGGGACTTGGTCGGCGTCAAGAAGTTTCTACGTGCTGGGGTGCGCGGCGCACAAGGTATCGTTCTTGACTTGACTAAGCCGATGGTATTCTCCTGAACCGACTGCGCGGCTGGCGGTTTCGACTCTCGCTTGGGATTTCCCAGAACGGTTTGAACGCCAGAGACCCCAGCCGCTGCGAACTTATTGCTTCTCCCTCGAGACGAACAAGTTCGGGGTAGCATCCGGAAAGCCAAGCCGGTGGATATATGTCGTCGGCGGAATTCTACGGATATCGAGACGGTGTATGCAACATAAGCACTGGAACACCACGACCTTGCCTACAAGAGTCCAAGACCGCCAAGACGCTTTTGTGGCGTGGTTCTGGGGAGGGAGCCATAGAAGACCGCTTCCGGAATATGTCGGTTGATCCCACAAGTTGAGGGAACGGCTCAATATCAGGCCGTGAGCTTATACATAAATTGATGTTGCAAATGCAGAGGACATCGGATCAAAACCACGGGAGTGTCCTTCTTGGCCATGTCGTTATCCCTGAGACGGCGGGGGCTATTCTTCGTATGATTACCATCCCGTCTCGCTACCCGATTCTAGTCCAACTGTCCAGCTGGTGTCAGATACTGCCCGTGACAGTTGAGACTACATGAGTTTTTTTTTTTCCCCCTTTTTTTCTCCGTCAGTTCCCACCTGCCAACAACCATCTCGTGTATTTATATTATACCCCTTTATCCGTAGATTAACTAGGGGCTGATCATCTAGTCACTTCACCGGCCGTCTTAACTCTTCTGGGTAACTCTTCAGCCTGAAGGCCACCGTTCACGACTCCATGCAGTCAAACCGTCTTTAAATATGGCCTTGAGTGCCTGCATCTTAATCTGGGCCATTTCTTCCTCATCCTGACCCTTACCACTTGAGTGCGGGGCTTGCAGGCAGCATCGTATTTATCAACGGCTGAGGCATTTCGGCGAACAACAAAAACGACGAAGAGTGCATGATGTGTGGCATGCGATCTTCGAATTGTTTGGGTCGGACCCAATTCTGGCCAGCCACGAGCGGTAACGGCCCCTTTATCCGTCCGGTACTTGGCCGGCTGAATTGTCGAACCATCGATCATTCAAAAGCAGTTGAGATCATCACCCTCGTCCGAGCCGTCCCCGTGTGAGTTATTCAAATGATCGACTTTTTTGACCGACGCATACCCAATTTGTGTCGAACAGGTAATAACTTTGCAAGTCTTGCTTGGCGCACAAATCGGACCATCGAACACTCGAACTTCAATGTTCTCAACCCCCTGCGAGGCTGAGGCGCATGCAGGTCGGATGGAGTTGTGTAATCTACCTCGTACGTGAAAGCGAAGGGAAAAGCGAGAAGGGAACCCCAGTTCATATAGTGTTCATACCGTACATGGGTCGACTCCCGCTTGGGGATCAACCACGGTTCCAGTTCCTCTTACCGCTGACAGGCCTTTGTCTACCGAGACTATTGCCCGGGACCTATATCTCCGTGTCTTCCCAATATATCCGGGGGTGGATACCTGTTATGCTACCACACCCGTATGCCGGTTACCAGTCACATTCAATATGTGGTTCATTTACCACGTAAGAATGTCAAACCCGCCTTACGTTGTATCTATGTGTCCGCGCGGGGGATTATCTCCCGGCGAGACAGAGGCCCGGCACGGTTTGTGGGGAGTTTTGACTCTTGAGAACCAGACAAGACCCACGGACATGTAACTGTATAAGGGCCAGTCCCCTTGTCATAGTCCATGATTCCGTGGTTCGTTCCTCTCTCCCCCAGGGCAATAGTCGAGCAGGCTCCAACGTTCTCCGACTTTCCTCGTCGACATCATGGAGCTCTTGTTACTTCTCCTCCTTGGCTTCGCTAGCCTATCAGTTGGCGAATATGCCCAGGAAGACATCGACTCAGGCAAGGTCCTTCGTGATCTAAGCCGTGAGGCCTACCATAATGCATGGGCTCGCTTGGAAGGCAAGACCGAAGGTTGCACTCAGGAGAATGTGAGGGTCCGCAAAGAATGGTATGTCATGTCCTTATAATCTCGCTCTGTACAAGTTGCGCTAAACATTGTGAGACATAAGGCGAGATATCCCGGCCAAGAAGCGAATTGACTTTGTCAGGGCTGTCAACTGTCTGATGAGCAGCGAGAGCCTGAACCCCGACCTCGAAGGCGCGAGGTCTCGTTTCGACGACTTTGGTGTCCTGCACCATCAAGTCAGCAACTACGTGCACTTCTCGGCCTCTTTCCTTCTGTTCCATCGATACTTCACCTGGGCGTATGAGGAAGCCCTCAGGAACGAGTGCGCCTATGAAGGTTCGCATCCATGTGGACAACTTGCTTCCTCGCTCTCTGGAGAATTCCATCACTGACCAGTAGTCAACAACCAGGTCCATTTCCCTACTGGAACTGGGGCTATGACGCCCATGACGTGGAGTCGTCCCCTCTTTTCGACGGCTCGGCGACCTCTCTTGGAAGCAACGGTAAGTATGTCGAGGGACAAGGGGGGAACTTCGGCATGCCTCCTGGCTCGGGAGGCGGGTGCCTCATTAAGGGACCCTTCTCGAACCGGACCGTCAACCTGGGTCCCGGTTCTGGCCCGGATCCTTATCGGTACAACCCACGGTGTATTCGTCGGGACCTAAACACCGCCATTGCATCGGCCTGGACAACCCACCGCAACACAACAGATCTCATCCTTGACAGCCCGAACGTCGAGTTGTTCCAGGCTATCATGCAGGGAGATACGAGGTACCCGGAATCAAGGGGCTTGGGTCTGGCCGTCCATGGAGGCGGACACTTTGCCATTGGTGAGTTGCATGAACACCGATATGCTTTACTTTAATGGTCCGAAGGTGGATGTTGGTATGACTGACCGTCTTCTTTCAGGCGGAGATCCCGGTGGTGATTTCAACTGGTCACCCTTGGAGCCGGCATTCTATCTTCACCATGGACAAGTTGACCGACTCTACTTCATCTGGCAAAACCTCGATTGGGAGAACAGACAGGTTCGTTAATGCCACGTGCACCCAATATTAACTTCCCTCGGGGACAGTGATGCATGGCTCATCGTGGTTGGTATGAAAATTTGAAGTATGAAGAACTAACTTGAGGAAACATCCAGAACATCTCCGGAACGGCAACTATGTACAACAGACCCCCTAGCGATGAACAGTCCCTCGACGATGTCATGGATATTACGCCGCTGGAAGAAGCTCGGACGTTCAGGAAGCTGATGGACACTATTGGCGAGACGCCCTTCTGTTTCTTGTATGACTGATGCCTGAAAAAGCTTGAGGGCGATTCTGCGAGGGAAAAGTCTGCGGGGACAAGTAATGGGAGACACGGGACGTCCACAGGGCACTTGTGGAGGGAAAGGAAAGGAAAAAAGGACCAAGTAAATGCCTTCTATCCAGGCACGGTGTTTGTAAATCGCGGATGATATCCGCCGCCATGTGGCGAGCGGCTCAGGGGTCCGAAGCCCCCTGAGATGACGGAACTGTATGTGTGTGGAAAAGAAAGGGAAAACTATATTGTTAACCTTATTGATAGCAGCTCAAAGCTTATTAAATCATATAGGCGAAATGACTCTAAACTGGAGCAACCAGGGGGCGTAAAGACTTCGACGCCAACAATACGCCACGGTGCGCTAACTTTGTCTGTGGAAAGTAAATTTGAAGTTCTCACCAAGGCTACATTTTCGAAGCAAACATGAAAAAATATAAAAGAACTGCCTCCCCAGCTTGAGACGTAGATCCAAGGGTCCCAATTTCATGCATCCGTCTTTTCCGTTCCTGAGGTCTCCGTTCCAATACACTGTGCTTACACTACCTCTTTGCCAGAAATCTACGCAATACACCGCACGCCCCAAGATGAGCTTTCCAGATGTCACTTCAAGCCAGGTAGCGTTCAAAGAGGCGGTCGCGGCTCTCATCCAAGCAATTCACAACCACCCCGACTATCAGGAGCCCCTCCTCTACGTCGACTTGGAAGGCGTTAACCTCTCTCGCCGGGAGCATCTCCATAGTGATCATCTACGTCTAACCAAAACATCACGTATACCCCGTGGACGTACACACGCTGCAATCAGCGGCCTTCACCGGCGAGGCACGAAGCGGGTCAACGCTCCAATCCATCTTCGAGTCGCCATCGATCACCAAAGTCTTCTTCGACATCCGGTACGACTCGGACGCGCTATACACACACTTCGGGATCCGGCTCGACGGGGTGGAAAACGTGCAGCTTATGGAGCTCGCGGCCCGCCTCGACTTCGCGAGATTTACATGGCGCAGGTGGAAGAGTCCTGGCGGGATCTGGTGGCCAACCAGACGACCCTGCGCGTGCTCCGGTTGAGATGCAGAGCCTGGAGGAAATGGATCGGGATATCAGTGCTTTGGAATGGAAGCCTGGTGGGGAATCTGTACCGCTTGACCCTCAATTCACGGCGTATGTCAGACAGGTTCTCTGGTAGGATATGGGTACCTGGGCTTTTGGATTGAAGTGCGCATGTTATGCACCGTCAAAGGTGGTGGAGAATCAAGCGGCCGGCTGCAAGATGGATGTTTTTACACCCTGTATATTGGTCAGGAACATCAAATATCAAAGAAGGCGCTTGGTTGTTGCTGATTCTTCACCGGAGCCGAATATTCATATGCCAATGTGTTTCTTATTTATTTCAAGAGAAAGCGCCAGATACGCCACGGAGCTCGGGGACAAACAGGGAAAGGGAAAGGAATGAGGAAAGACAAGAATAATAGAAGCGCGAAACACCAAAAGCCATATGCCCATCGAATGCAATGAAATGCTTGAAGCGTCATCGAATAGGACCTCTCCATGAAGCACGACGTTCGAATACCCGAATGTCGACATGATTTGTCCGCTGCTTTGCGACGGCCTACTGAGGTGAACACTGAACACCATGCTCCCATTCGAAGTGGAGCCCACACGTACACGTCCTCCCTATCCAAGCCGATAGGCTTTGGGCCGGATCAGCAGGGACACGGGAAGACGCAGAAGTTGCAGGGAATCGGGCAAGGGATGATGAAGCAGAATCGACCAGGACACATTTCGCCGTTGCGGCCACCCCTAAGCTTCAACTCGGGTTCGTCGGGGGTATTCTGCTCCTGATCCTGATTCTGTGACACCTGCTGGAGCTCTGGTACGTCGTCGAGATTAGCATGAAGCTCTACTGCGTAATCACGTCAACTCGGTATGCGCTGGGCTTACCCATTGGCTGATGCGGGCTGGGCTGTTGGGCGTGTACTGGTTTTGGGACTGAAGGAAGATCCGACCGATTCTGAGCCGCGAGGCCATTGAGATGAGTGTCGTGACCCGGCATGATGATATTGTTCTGGGCGTATTTTGCGTAAATCTATCGTATAGGGCTTGGCGACGAGCAGTGGTAACGGATATGATGAGTACGAGTAGGTTGATCGGGCCAAGGCGACGGAGTCGAGACGAGAACGAAAGCCAAGGAAGGTCTCGAGGTGGCAGAGGAGGAGGAGGAAGAGGGAAGATACGCGACGTCACTAGTGGAGCCCCAAACATCCTGGCGGCGTTGGACGGCAGTGTCAGTGGGTGCCAAATGACGAGTGGTGTCTATTTTGGGCTGTATTTCGTACACAGTTATTATCTGTCTTACGTACAGTGACCATACCTTACTAAGTAATTATTAGTCGATGAGTATCGAGAAGACTCTTCGCCTAGTCGTATTTAACCAGTAAACAGTGTATGAACTACCTAATCAAATCCCCTTATGAAAAGCCATGACAAAGCCACGTTCTCCCGAGTCCTGACTCCGTGTTCACCAGGACCAACCTCGACCAAATCATCATCTAATCTATCCTTCGTATTCCGTGCATGTCATGCTAATAATGCCATTATTAAGTTCGTACACATTCGTAAAAGGAGTTGCAACAGACCCGTTTTGCATGAAACCCACAACTCCAAAAGTCAACGGTCATCCCTGGAAAAAGCTAAGGCGAAACCGATTCCGACCCTTCGGTTTATTCCTCCCAAAACTGTGCCCCGTCCTGGGTCTCTCATCAAAGCTGTCCACACTGGGCGGCCGCGGCATGTTATTCCAAGAAGAACTCGGCCCCAGCGGCTGGTGCGGGTGCTGTGGCAGCTGTGCCGCCGACTCGTCATGAAGCGAGTCATCCTGCTGCAACTGCTGCTGCTGCAACCGCTGCTGAAAATCACCCCGCAGCGCCCTGTCGACATCCGCGTGGCGCCGCTCGTATTCGTCGTGCTTGGCCTTGGCCTCGACGAACCGCTCCTCCGCCTGCAGCCTCCGCTCCTGCAGCGCCCGCAGCTCGTCGTCCAGCTGGCTCATCTGCCGCTGCGCATCGTCCATCAGCGTCTGGTACTCCCGGACCTTGACGTCCAGCGGCTGCAGCACGCTCTTTGCGATCGCGGGGCTGCCGACCCTGTCGATCACCGCGCCACCGGACGCTGCTGCGGCGGCGGTCGGGCCCCGCGTCGAAGGGACTCGTGCCCACGACGACATGTCCTGCCCTGACGTCGCGTCGTGGTAGGACGTCGGCGGGCCCCGAGGCGGCGAGGAGGTGGTGGTCTTGCTCGGAGGGGGGGGAGGACCCGGTTCGGGCGGAGCGATGATGGTCGGGTCGATGGATCCCGACGCCCGACGGGAATGTCGTGCTACGCGACGTCTGGCAGGTGCTGCTCCGGCCGACCTCCCGTTGGCCGAGTCGTCGAATTCGTCGTGAAAGGGCGGGCTCGGGTAGGCTGCGGCTTGGGCCTGTGAATTCGTCGCTACTGATCGCTGCTGCTGCTGCTGCTGTTGCTGCTGCTGGCGGTGGCTGTGGAGGGCTTTTGCCACGACGGCGTCTTGGATGACAAAGTCCGAGTTTGAGTTGGGGCTCTGAGGCTCGTCGTCGCGGTCGCGGTCGCGGCCGTTGTGTGACGGTGAGGAGCGATCCCGCCGGTAGCGACCGACGCCCTTTCCGTTTTCTCTCGACTGGCGCGTTGTGAGGCGGAATCCGTTTTCTTCCGGGTCGGAATACAAGTTGGATTGCGGGAGTGCCATTGTTCGATGCCCGTGACTCAAGGGCAGTGGGCAGCCACAAGCCTAAGGTCGCTGAGCTTACTTTGGCTGAAACAACCGTTTTGTGTCTTGATGCGTTGGGCGGAGGAAATGAGGAAGGGCCTGGCCAGTGAGGAGAAAGTGGAAGGAATGGAATGTGAGTTATGACTTGGGAGACGAGAGAAAGAGAGGAAGCAAACGAAGAAATGGAATGGCCTACGAGGCGAGACAGGCTTGCCGGCCTTCACCATTTATCCATGGTAGTAGAGTAGTGTAAGGATACTGAGCAAGGGTAAAGGGAGGTGGCTGGTAGAGTGGATCGACCCATCAGTACTCCATCAGGTAGGCCATCCAGACAACGGAGTCGCCAAAAAAGAAAAAAGAAAAAAAAAGGCTGGAAGTGAACGATCCAGCCACCCATCTAGTACGTACGAGGTAATTATACGTCGTACCTTGATGCGTTGTCACCCGTCAGTTACACAGCAGATCGCATTCGTACGAAGTACCGTATTTACCCATCAAACTCGATTCTAAGCTAACGACTTGGCGCCCCGTTTCCCCCATTTCCCCCATTTTCCCGAGAAACCATCCATTGATCGAGAGCCGTGCCAGAGCCTCGATATCTCATTACCAAAAAAAATCTAGGCGTACTTGAGAATCCAGTTTGATGGGTTAATACGGTATTTCGCACGTACTTCCGTAGTTGTTAGTGAGGTGGCTGGGAATCTCGGGTACGTTGTAGCCACGTAATATTGAGGCTGGGCCAAGCCGATCCGTGTGATTACCTAAGCAGAGCCCCTGACCAACCCCGACCCCTTATTACCTAACCTTGTCCCTGAATCTTCTCTCCGACTCCAACTCTTAATTAACGTTCGTTCTCCTTTTACCAGTTCTCTTGACCAGCTTCAAATACGGATAAACCTCGTTATTTCTCTTTCGTTCCACACAAACTCACCTCGCAGTTCTCCTCGACTAAGAAGTCTGTCAACGCTTCCTCAAAACCCAGACTCCTGGCTGATGAGGACGAAGCCTTGAGGTGTCACTGACTCCCTATGTCCGTGTGCACCAGTCACCACTTGCCGACCATGGCATCTCTGGGTTCCTGGCTGTCATGGTCACCCCGGTCATGATGTACGGAGAATGAAGTGATTCTTCTTTGTGCGTCTGAAATTCGATTATAAAAGGGCAGATTGAGCCGGCACTGGGGCTAATATCAGACCGTTTGACCGAATCCAGGAGCTTCTCGCCTTCTACTATAAGCAAGTGGTACTACTTTCACACAAAGACTCCCTAAACAAACCCCTTTTGCGTGCAGGAGAAACAGCTTGAAGTCTTGGGAAACTTTGAGACATCTCGTTCATCCTATAAGGGGTACGGTGTACCATATATGCTGCCACATGATCCCAAATACCTCATCCCTTCGTTCATTTTCAAATCTGAACACAATAATCCTCCCGTCGCAAAAGCTTCTTTTCTCCCTAGTCTCATTCTCTATGCACCGGCGTAGTAGCTGTTTCCACGTCGACTTGGCAACACAAGCACGACTTTCTTGTATCGTCGGAGCCCAACACAATACCAGCAACCGCGCCGCTTTCCAGGACAAGAAGGTCATGCTGCTCAGCGGCAGAGCACACCTCCTATCCGGTGATATCATGGCAGACCGGGCCCGAGCGAGCCCTCACCAATCTCGGCGTGAAGGTGAGGAAGAACGCTAGGGTGTTTTCCGTCACCACCCTGCCGTCCGGGAAGACCGTGATCGCTAACACCGAGAGTCTAGGTCTCATCAGTGGCGCAGAACATAAAGCTTGCCATGCAGAGGAAGGACCAAGTCCCGGCCAAAGGGCCCCCCTTCGACATTAGCGTCTGCTCTGTCGGCCCTGATGATGGCGTTGATCGAGTTGATTGGTTCCCTATGCCTTCGTTCCTCGTCCGAAAGCTCAAAAGTAGCACCTTGGGAGCCGATATAGCTCCAAGTATGCAGCCAACTGTGTTTTGTACTAAAGCCCTGTTCAACGATCCTTCTTTAGTCATAATAAGGAGACGTGATGCATATGTGTGCGATTTCGGAGAACTCAAGTCCAGACAAACAGTAACAATATATGTCAGTATTGTATTATGGTATTATTGGACTTCTTATTTATGAGTCTAAAGCTAACGTAGGGAATCATGCATGCACATTGAAACCAAATTGCAAGATATCATCAAGTAACGCCCTCGCTTATCCAAGATCCAATAGTGGTGGGTATTTGCACCAACCAGCACAGTTCTAACACCCCCTACACAACAAGATGCGACAACCCCGTGTCTAGTGAGTCGCAGACGACTCGCTCCTTCCCGTCCTCGTCTCGCGATTCTCCACCGCAATACCTTTGTCGGATTCGGGTCCGGGTCCGGCACCCTTCCCCGACTCGACATTACCATCGCGCATACCGACCTTGGCGGCTCTAAAAGCATCGGCGACAGATCGGTAGCGGGAGTAAAAGTTAACGGCGAGAGGGTAGGTCCAGGCCGCAACGAAGAAGGCTAACGGCACAACCATGGCAACGCCCATGTCGCCGTGCCGATCGGCGACTGCACCGAGGAGGGGTGGGACAGCGGCGCCACCAACGACGCCTACGCAGCATCTTGTCAGTTTAGGAACAGAAAGAGAAAGAGAAATAAAAAGAAGAGAAGGCAAGGGCAGTAAGTGAAACTGAGAGGATTCTTACCGGCGACAATATAGCCGCTCCCGCGCTTGCTATGCCGGCCAAGACCGCGCATGCCCAGAGCGACGATAGTGGGGAAGCAGACCGACTCAAAGAAAAGGACAAAGTAGAGCATGACGACGCCAGGGACACCGGTGTGGCGGATGGCGGGGGCGATGAAGACGATACAGCCGGCCAAGAAGACGAGCAAGACGATGCGCGGCTTGACCCAGTAGTGCATCAAGGCGGAGCCGATGAAGCGGCCAACGGCAAACGCGGCCTGGGCACCGGCGAAGAGTTGCGATCCCACGTCGTCACCCGTGTTCGGGATCGTTTCGGAAACGTAGTTGATGAAGAAGCTTTTCCGAACGTTAGCCGTGTTTCGTTTACAAAAAGCAGTGCCGACCATAGGGTACAGGGGCAGTTGTTTGGTGGTTTGATAAAACGTAAGATCGTCTAGGAGCATACCTAGCGATGGCAACCTGAGCACCGGTGTAGCAGAACTGTGCCCAAGCAGCGTGAAAGAGATGATACTGCTTGACGAACGGCTTATGGTCAAAAGCCGCATTGGCCTCCTGGGCCTGGAAAGCCATGTCCGCATCGGTGATCTCGGGAATAGCAGCAATCCAGAACACCCCGGCGAGGCCCCAAACGAACACAGCGATAGCGACGTAGACCCACTGGACGTTCTCCAAGGCTCGCTGGTCGGAAAAGTTGAAGAAGACGTAGGAGCCCATGACGGGGGCGATGACGGTGCCGACCCCGTTGAAGGCCTGGGCGACGTTGATGCGGACCTCGGAGTACTTGGGCGGGCCGCAGACGGCGATGTAGGGGTTCGCGGCAGTCTCGAGGGAGCCCAGGCCGTTGCCGATGACGAAGATGGCGGCGCAGAAGCCGCCGAAGGAGCCGGCCTTGATGGCGGGGATGGCCAGGATGGCGCCCAGGCCGTAGAGCATGAGGCCCCAGATAAAGGTAGTCTTGTAGCCCCAGTGGCGGAGAATCCATGCTGCGTGGCCTATGGAAGCGAGGGGGTAGGCACTGAGGGGGTTAGCTTTGCCTTTCTTCTTCTTCTTCTTGATCGCCCCCCCTTCTTTTTTCCTTTTTTCTCTTTTTTGTTTTCCTTCTTTTTTTTTTTTTTGTCTTTCCTCCTATCCTACTCTCCATCCCTTTGCGACGTCTTGTTCTGCCTTTACGGCCACATTTCTCAAGTCCATGAGTGATGAGTCCATGGCGGGTGGTCAGAGGTGGAGTTCCCCAGAGGCCAAGAGTCCAAGACCGGAAAATGCGATCAACCCCCACCCTATCCACACCGACCGGATCCGATGGTACGTAGCCTGTAGGTACCGGCCGAATCCCTCAATCCAATCGATACACGTATGTACAAGAGGGAGGGCGAGGAAAATGGAAGTGTGTAGGCGGGGAAAAGAAAGGCATCTTGAAGGTAGCGAGGAGAAGAAGAAGAGAAGAAGAAGAGTCGCATACCCAAAGTAGGCGGCCTGAAGACCCGCAGATCGAGCTCGCGTAATGTCCAAGACATTCTGGAAGTGCTTGTTAAGAGTATCAAGTAGGCCTGGAGAGTCGAGACATCCCATATCGTTTTAGCGAGGAACCCGAACATTGAAGCCTTGGAAATTTTCACTTGGTCGACAGAGAAGAGGCCCAATATGACATACCATAGGAAAACCCCCAGAGGAAGAAGAGCAAAGTGACCAACATCAAGGGAAAGATGGAGCCCCTGAGGGTGAGCTCGGCAGCATTTGTCCTCACATTGTCGTTCTGGCAAAGAGGCCGCTTCTTGATGAACTCTTTCACGCCCATGGCTGGTTGATGTCAGGTATGCCGACAGATAGTCCGAGCCGGAAATGGGATCTCGAGACGGGTTGTCGGTCATCGGCTGTTCCTGTGATTGAGCGTGTTGAGGATTTGGCCAGGCGAGAGATTGGAGAGAATAAGATGGGGGCGCAGGCTTCTATTAAATCAGCAATGGCCAAAAGAAAGATCAGCCCTCCCTTCGGTCCATCACTCGGCGGTTTGTTCGTCTTGAAGCTACGGCACAGCTGCACACCATGCATGTGTACTCCCGGAGTTCCGTACTCAGTACCTACCTAGGTATGTGTAAGATACATCGTAATTGCGCACAGGGACAGATGCAGATGTAGCGGCCAAGGCGAAACAAAACCCGGTCGAAAATCCCGTCGGCATTTTTATCCGTATTTCATTTGGTAAACCAACATTCATAATACATCATCTCCTGGGCCATGTTCCTCCCTCGTGCTCCTGCTCTCAGTCTCAGACCGTGGCCATTAATAACCATGGCCATGGTCCTAGCATCAGCGTTTACTCATGGAAGTAATGTCGCCTGCGTACTTCCATACCCTGTGCCAACCTGAAAGAGGAGTAGGGAACAGTGGTTCACTTTTCCAGAAGATTAATCCGTCGGAAACCCCGTATTCTCCCTCGAATCACGCGTGAAAGTGAGGGCGTAGGCGCTACCTAGTCACTGTACGTGTACCTGCACTTCGGACTTAGTGTATCTGTGTCCAGGGGGGGGGGCTCGCAAGGTGGGGTCCGGGAATTGAATTTAGACTTGCCAAGCATACCCTTGCATCGAATTGTGCGGGGAATACGTCGTGGTTGGCTGGCTTTGGCGGAAAGTGGAGACTTGATCTTGGGGTAGGCTTCTAGCGTTGGTTCTGGCAGTCGACGTACACGTGTAATGTGGGGTAATGTTTACAGGTTTACAGAGTGAGCGGCTGGGAAGGGGGAGGGGGATGTCGAGAGTGATCTAGCGCTCACTCATGATGGTCTTCCCTTGGAAGGAATATGTACAGAATAGAAGCTGTAAGTAAGACACCTCTAATTCTCCGGAACAACGCATTCTGGCAGCCGTCAACATATCGAGGAATTAATATTGAATAAACAGGGTATGATTTCAACTGACGCAGTTTGCTCGACAAGGATTATTGGATCGACACTAAGTCGCTCGGACTCGTCGGTTAGCTCGACATGATGTTCCACTGAGGGCGGGTTGTAACGTTAATGTATCCATGACTGACACCAGAGAGCAGTGGGAGTAGTGACCAATGCCCCGTAGATTACGCCGCGGCAATGGTATGTCTGTATGCCCCGCCATCCACGGCTGTTCTAACCGCTTTGGGTTTTCAGCGTCCACTATCAATCTCATGGATCCTGTGGAGGTGCAGCTCGCTACAATTGACCGACGATAGTTATCATTCTCGGCAAGTAGTTTATCAGACCCCGGGCAAACTCCAGTGATCTCTTTGAAGGTTTCAAGCTTGATACTTTTGACGAGAGTGCATGTGGTTATTCTGGGGCAATCTTATACTGTCCGTATTATTCTCGCCATTGCACAGTCTTAAGCAATGCTTTGTACCCACGATGTATAGAAAATAAATCAAAATCAACAGACCTAGCCTCCGGCATTTCCGTCCCATCGTTCTTATTCCCACATGCACTCAATCAACAAAGTCAGGAATAATCTTAGCCCGCTTCATCCGATCAAAGACCCCTCCCCAAGCCTGCAGCGTCGTCCGTTCCTCGCTGAACCCCGTCCCGTTGTACATCTTGCTCATATCATAGTGCCGGTCAATGTCAAACTGCGTGAGCAAAAAGTGCTCGAATCCAGGGTAAATCCTCGGATGGTCCGCCTGGCCCTTCTCAAGCCCATACTTCCCCTCCATCTCCTCCCAGGCGGCCAAGTTCTCCTTGATGAAACCCCTCACTTCGACAGGATTGTCCTCGTCCCGCTTCACGCCCCGGAGTCCGAAATACCCAGCCAGGACAGGCCACTTCTCCCGCCAACAACTCGCCCGCCGCTCATCCGCCACATTAAACGCCGCACCCTTCTCCACCCGTCCGTCCCCCGCCGCCGCAACGGAGAGATGCAGCGTCTGCCGCGCAATCATATCCGCCGACGCATCCTGGCTAAGCGCCTCCCAGCTGTCCCGCGTGCCGGGGAAGGGGACCTCGGCGCCGACGCCGTGCACGTGCCTCCACAGGCTAAAGAACACGCCCAGCGCCATGCCGAGGGAGTACCAGTTCTGGTTGGGCACGAAGCCGATGATGATGTCCGGCCGCGTCTCGCACCAGGACCACGGCTTGTTGCGCGCGAAGTCGGCGAGCCAGTCGAGTTGGGGGTAGTAGAACAGACCGGTGTCGTGCGGCGGGGTCATACGCGGCAGCGTTTCGGCTAGGGGGGGTACCATGTTGGCGGGGCGGTTGCGGAGGAGGTGGCATCCGTACGCCTTGGCTCCGGTTTGCAGGACGACGAATTCGAGGGCCGGTGAGAGGGCGTCGATGGCTGTGATGGCGCGCTTGAACATGTCGACGTTTTCGCGGCACTCTGCCTCGAAGTTTCCATCGGTGTGGGCCTTGTATGCTGGGGACACATTTTTGTCAGTCCGAGAGAGCCCGTGCTACCTTCCCTCGACCCTTCCCATCCAATGAGGCCTCGTTTTGTGTATTGGGTGTTGTGCAATGTGCTGTGATTTCCACTCACCCAAGTAGTAGACATGCGTCACTTGCTCTAGTCCGGGAATTCTTTCTTTCATCTTGCTATTCAGCTCATCCTGGCTGCCTTCGAGCAGATCAATCCCCGACACAACCGAGAGCCTGTCGTCCTTGGGCCAGAGGGTCTTGTCCAGATTGAGAGGCCGGTTTGTCAGGGCGGTGCAGCCGTTCCATACACCTTGCGAGGGGTAATCGTGCAGGATCTCGTTGACGAAAGACCAGCCAGTGACGCCGCTGGCCCCGAAGATGAGGGCGTGTTTCCCAGCCATGATAAGTTATAACAGGTATGGTCAGTTCTCCTCGTTGTGGAGATGTTGGATTTTGGAGGCGGGAAAAAGGGACGGGCAGAGGTCTCGGGTTGGGGATGCAGGATCATGTCTGGGAACTGTAAAGTAAAGTTCCTTCCGAGCGAATTGGTGGCTGGGTGTTTCAACCCGATTCTGTATATATAGAGTGATCGGACATTGGATGCCGCCATGCTAGAAAGCGCTGTCCTTGTCATGTGGGGTTCTCCGCGTAGTCGGGGAGTTGTTTTCCGGGGGACGCATATCCCCTCCATCCCCGCACATCACATGCCCTCCGCATAATCCGCAGAGTGCCCAGACGGCACCATCACTTATCTACTATCTACTATTCTGTAGCTGATCTGGCTCTAGTAAGTGCCTCCTCTCGCCGGCTTGGCAATGCCCCGCGCAACGCTGACCGACTCGGCCAACGTTGCCTGCAGAGCCGTGTAGTCGGTGGCGACGCTGAGCATATCGAAGCCCTGGTCCGCAAACATCTTAGCCTGTTCGCCGGAAGTACAGAAGATGCCGCACTTCTTTCCGGCCTTGTGGGTGGCGGCCAGGGTGCGGGCGATGGCGTCGAGGAGTTCCTGTTTCATGATGCCGCTGAGAATAGGGTGGCCGATGTTGTTGCCTTGGGACGGGGGTATTACGGTCAGCCCAGGTTTTATGCAAACGGGTCTCCTACATGAGACATATGGCGAGTTTCGTGAGCCACAACATACCTAGGTCAAAAGGACCAATAAAGAGGACATCAATGCCGTCTACGGCGGCGATGTTCTCAACGACGTCCAAGGCCTCCTTCGTCTCGATCTGGACCATGGTCAAAAGCGTGTCATTCGCTTGCTGGAGGTACTCGGTCATGGTCGGAGCCGGTTGGAAACGTTCCATGGCGAGGGGAGAGCCGAAACCTCTTCGGCCTACTGGCGGGAACTTGGCCGCTTGGACGAGCTCCTTGGCTTCCTGGACAGTACGGAGCAGCGGCACCAGAACCTGGAGTGGACGGACGTCAGTAGATCCCCGCATTGAAGGATGGTCACATATTGAAGACAAGGTCGCACCCCGTGTGCACCACAATCCAAGGCACCTAAGGAACAGTCAGTGTCAGTGTTTGTCTCAGACACCTTCGATAAGGCGAAGAGGCACAGGCCTAAACTCGCTTACGCTTCACCATCCAGGACTGGATATCGGGCAACCTGACGATGGGAGAGGCGCCTGCCGCAGCCACGGCGGGAACGGCATCGTGCATAGCGGCATCTGGTGTTTCTCGTCAATCCAACGCCACTTCATCCTCAACAATGTTCCTTTGTCCTTCTCCCTTCGGGTGGAGGACAATGAGGACCAAAACGGTAGTCGTACCGTCAATGTTGCCATGTTCGCAGTCCACCAAGACCCAATCGACGCCGGGCGTGCGCGCAAGCAGCCGAGAGACATTGGCACCAGGTAGCATCTGCCATAACCCCATGCTGGGACCGGCGCCCTTGGCGAAAGCCGTCTTGATCCAGCTGGCAGATTTCATCGTCGAAAGGGTCCGGAGTCCCCGAGTCGTTACGAATTGACACGAAAGAAAATAATATTATCGCAAAAAAATGAAGGAGGGAGCGGCCAAAATGCCGATGACGTTTTGTCCCGATGAACTCCGATAAAAAGGGGGCGGGGCGGGACTCGGGAGCGGGGGTGGGGTTGGAGAACGAAGTACAGTAGGTATGTACCTACTTCGCCCCCATAACCCCGCATCAAGCACTACGGTATCTCTTAGCGCATTCAGGCCCTGTAAATGTATTCCGTATTATTACCCCTGACCCCTGAATTCCCAGCGCTTAGGGTGGTTTCCTTTGCCGTTTATGCGTCTTATATCGCATTTAACGACAAGGAAGTACATGTATAGATTTCGGCTTCTGATTTCCATTATTGGCGCATAATAGCTAAGAAGATTTCATCTACTCAGGGCATCGTCCTGTCAAATAAGTGTAAGTAATATATAAGATGGAAAGTTCACACCGCCGCTATCTATCTGGACCACTCTGAATGCGGACATCCATCCTGATAACCTGTAAAGTCACATCCATTCAACACCCCCCGATTTACAGCGGAATGAATGGATGAGTTTGAGCTGCAAGCCGACACCCTCAAATTAAGACTCAACGGCAAATGCAACGCCATGATATATGGCCCAGTCTATTAGACACATCGCTCCCTGTTGAGACTTCTCAAATTCGCGTCCGACAGCCTTGTAGGCTGTCGTGTCATGTCGATATTTGACCAAAACGTAAGCATATTCAACTCACAAAGCCGTTCTACCCCCTCATTTGAGCCTGGTGACGATATTGAGGCACAGCCCCGGTCTTGAGGCAGCCCGCAGTGTGCTAGTGGCTGCATGTGCCATCCGCAGCATGCAACCGCTGGGTGCCCTCAGGAATAGTTGATTGGGCGTGGCAAGCGAAGGATGCCTCCTATTCAGTCTATAAAGCGCAGCGTCCAGTTTCAGCCGTATTGCTTCATAAAATTGGGAGGGGGAGGGGGGGAAGACAATAAAACGATAGAGGTGAAATATATAAACAGACGGGCTTGTCGTTGAGATGCTCACATCTCTCCATATCTTTTGTTCAACCCCCTAATCAGGAGTACCTAGACGTGCTGAGTCTTGGTCAGCAGCAACCGGAAAATCGCCCAAGCGCTATCGGCCCATCGCAATGACTTTCAGGGGCTTCTCTTCAAACCGGGGTGCCACGGGTCGTCAGCAGACTCAGCACGCCTTCAATTTCAACCAACCCCTGTCCTCCGTCTCGACTCTTACCGCAGACGGGCTCTGCCGCGACTGCGCCGCTCTGGACCTCGAAACCGCCTTCGCCAGAGGGCACGAGCTCTACGAAGATGCCCGTCGCGGGTTCAACACCCGCAGGCTCGCCTCCTGCCGCTCCGCCAACGGCACCATCTACCTTCGCGATTTCTACTTCGTCACGTCACTCGGCAGACGACTCGCCGAAAACCGCGGCTGCAAGCTCTGCGACTTTTTCAAGCACCACGTCGACGACCCGGGCCACCATGGGAAGACGTTCAAAGCGCTGGTGGTCTGCAGCAGCGAGGCCTCCCTGTTCCGGGCGCCGAGGCGGAACGCCCGGGGGCGGCTGGAGAAGCGGCGGGACTGGGATGAAATGGAGTACAACGTGTTCCTGACGGTCGTGCCCGAAGTGGACGGCATTCCCAGGACCGGGGTCCCGCTGCGGTGGCTGGAGACCGAGGTGCCGCGGAAGGGGGCCATCTACCGTGCCACGGAAGAGGTGGCGGACGAAGACGGCAAGAGGCTCGTCCTCCCCGGTGTCCTCGGGCCCAAGGCAGACTTTGTCAAGTTCGGCTACTGGCGGTACAACTGCGAGGAGTCGCACGGGCCTCTGTGCACGCCCAGGAAGCCGCCGAACCAGACGGTCACTGGGTTCAAGGTCATCAACTGCAGCAAAAGGCCCTTTTCCGTGGAGAGGGTCTCGTGGAGGGAGAAGTACGTTGCGTTGAGCTACGTGTGGGGTGACTACCCAGACACAGACAGGTGGCCACAGACCATCAGAGATGCCGTCGCCTTTACGATCTACATGAGGGAGAAGTATCTGTGGGTTGACAAGTTGTGCATCGATCAGTCCAACGCGGAGGAGAAGAAGTACATGTGCTCCAAGATGGATGCCATCTACGAGGGCGCCGAATTCACCATCGTCAACGCCGCCGGGGACGCCCGAACGGGATTGCCCGGTGTGACGAAGGTCCCTCGTACACCGCAGCACAAAGTCGAGCTCAATGCGTCGTCCGCTCGAGTGAATTTATCCGGAAGAGGGCCGACGACCTCGACCTCGTCCTCCCGGCCCGGAAACTCGGATGACGTCTATCGAGACCTCCTGAACGTCCCAGGGGCAGAATACGACGCAGAAACCCAAGGCCACAGCTTGTGGCTTGACAACTATCGCCACGGCCTCAACAACAACATGGAATTGCCGCTCGACGAGATGCTGAGCCTGGCGCAAGGACCCGATCGGGCAGCCAAGTACGGCATTCCGGCCGAGCACGTTGATTTCTACGAAGACTCGGCGGAGCACTTCGGCCTCCCGTTCGACGAGTTTATGGAAACGCAGAAAGAACTAGCTCGACGCATCGGTATCACTCTCCCCGAGCTGGTCCCGTATCTGCAGCGCGATCTTGCGAGGAAGGCAGGCATTCCTGATAGCGAGCCGCTACGTATGCCCACGGCGGCAGATGACACGGTCGTCAGCCACAACAGGCCAAAGAAGCCACTACCACCAGGGAAGACACCCGGGAAAATCACCCTCGTCTCGACGATGCAGGATCCTCGCGTCACGATCCGTAAATCGAGGTGGGCAACGCGTGGCTGGACGTATCAGGAAGGCGTCCTTTCTCGGCGGTGTCTGGTGGTGACCCCGGAGCAGGTGTACTGGGAATGCCGAGGAATGGCGGTGCATGAATCCATCAAGCTCCCGCTCCCGACACTCCATACGCCGGTCTGGCCAATGGGGGTCTGGTGTTTCGCGGATTACATGCTTTCGGGCGTCTTCCGCGGCGACATGCACCGAACCCCTGAGCTCCAGTACGGTTTTCAGGGGAAGGAGGGGGACGATGATGACGGTGCCGCAGCCACTGACGCGGGAGGTCGGGTCAAGTCGCTCGACGGCCATATTAGGGCGTACACGGCGCGGGAGCTCAAGTGGGAAAGCGACTCGCTGAATGCGTTCCTTGGTATCTCGAATCGGTACTCCTCCGAGACCGACCGGGGGCTCTCGTTGATTCTCGGCATCCCCGTCTGGACCGGGGCGTTTGCTGACGGGCGACCTGGCCTGCAGCACAGCTTTGCCATGTCAGTCTCGGTCTGGTTTCACGTTGGGGAACCGACGGAGCCCGGGTCGGAGCTTTATTATGCCACCTGCCCGCGACGGGCAGACTTCCCGTCGTGGAGTTGGATTGGTTGGGCTGGTCGGGTCGACTTTAACGGCGACAATACGGACAACAGTCCCAGAAACAAAGAGGAAAACAACAATCCCACATGCACTTCTCGTGCTGATAACGATGGCTATGATGACGAGGAGGATGAAAGGAACATGGCGGATGATGCGCACATTGACTTCTTCAAGGCGATGACGTCCAGCGACTGGGCCCGGAGCGTCGACCGCCTCTACTCGGCCAGCATGGTCCTCCACACAGAAGACGGCGCCTACTCGACCCTTTTGTCCGGCTCGGTCTCACTCAGGGACTTCCCTATCGATGCGGACAAGAAGTGGCTTCTGACGATCAAGAAGCCGTTCGTGCTAGGACACTTGCGCACGGTGCCGTCGAGAAACAGGTGGGAATGGGGACGTCTCATGGAAAAGGAGGTGGAGGTGCGCATGTCGGTACCATGCTCGGAGCGGGAGCTCAAAGAAGGTCACGCGAGCGGGGAGATGCTGTCGGTATTGCTGTTCGCGGGAACGGTACCGTTTGTTTGGGATGTGAAGGCGAGATTCTTGGTTCTAAGGAGAGTTGGGGCGAACTCCGACTCGGGTGCGAAGGGGGAAGAACGTTGGGAAAGGCTTGGAAGGCTGGTGCTGACGATGGAGGAATGGATGATGGGGGAATACACGGATGCCCAGGCTATGGTTAAGGATTTGCCGGTTCGAGATTATGGGCGGGATCTGACATTGGTCTGATCGACGCGTATCGTATTCTTCATATAGTTTCTAGGGTCGTTTGGTGGACGTCGGGGCAGACAGATGGCTTTACTATCATGATGTGGTGTCAGGGGCTCTCGGTTTGGTTCTCATATGCCTCATAAGGGTGGAACCATATTTAACGAGTTGCTAGGAGCTTATAACATCATTAAGCAACTAGTTAGTAACTTATTTCATACTTGAGAAAAGGAAAAAGCAATAATTACAACAAGTCGTCGTACTTGGTATCCATTCCTTTCTGCCTCCCTCCCTTTCCATCATTATATCTTGAACAGACACGAGGATCAATAGTACTTTTACTCTGTATCGTGACAAGACCTAGACCTCGGCTGCGTCCTCACCTGTAGGCCGGCGGAGGTGGCTTCACACCCGCATTCTGGCCGGGTCCATAACCGTACGACTGACTGCCAGGCTGGTAACCGGGACCATAGGAGGGATCACCGACACCATTGGCACCATTGGCACCGTTGACACCATTGCCATACCCCGGATCGTATCCCTGCTGAGGCCGTTGTCCGTAACCCGCCTGTTCCATGTCTGCGTATTGCCGTTGCCGCGACGTCCGTCCGGGCATGAGGCGGCCGAACATACCAGAGAGGCCACCCCCACCGCGAGGAGGCGGCGGGTGAGCAGCGCCGGCCTTTTGGTTGGGGAGGCCCTTGCGGTTGGCGCGACGTTTTCGGAAGCAGCAGCAGTAGAGGCAAAGGAGGGCGGCCAGGAGGACGACGAAGCCTGCGATGGCGATGCCGACGATGCCGCCTGTAGCAATCCGACGTCCTCCGCTGCGGTAGCCTCCTCGGTATTGCTGAGGGCATAGAATTAGTACACGCACCGAGCTTGATAATTTCAACTTTTCCAGGGCCTTGACTCACCGGCATAGTGACAAAGTAGGAGTGGAGAATAGAGTCCGTAGAGGTCCGTCAGCTGTGCCGTGCTGTGGCTTATGGTGTTGTCTTTGGTTCCCCTAGGATGTGTGTGTGAGACAGGCGACGGCTGTCGCTTGGGGTGGTGGTAGCCTGTGCTGTGAGCCAGGTCGATCGTTGTATGAATGGCTTTGGCCCAATTATTATATTAGGACAATGTTCGGACTAAGAATAAGGAAAGATTCAAAAGACAGAATTGGTTGCACGGAATTGAAAGATGCAAAACATTTATACTTTGGTGTTGTGTGTGGTGCAGGCCCTGCAGGGTATCTCGATCCCCCAGTGCCGTCAACGTCATCCTCGAAAGCGTCAGGCCGTGACGCAACCTCGATAGAACCGGCGAAACAGAAATTACACTGCGTTGTAAATTATGTACTATCCGTATATAAGTACACTAAAAGCACTTTGTACTGGATGACGGCCGTGCCAAGAATCATGACTTCATGTCGGGCAGCGTATAAGTTAAAGTGACGACCCCAGGTTGAAGGTGGTTGCAGGTTACGCCATGACATTGTCGATCGACAACTTTTAAGTTTTCGTCTTTTTGCCTTTTTTTTCCTTTGTTTCTTTCTTTTCTCAAACCAGAGGATGGTACTTAATTATGTTACGTCTGCGAGAGGGAAACAGAGGAGATGAGGAAAATAAAAAGACTCGGGCCTGTGGCGAGAGTTGAGTTGTGGCGGGAATGAGGTCATTGGAATGTCTCATCCCTACAAGTACACGTGTAAAAGTAAATTCCCATCGGCCAGTGACGTGATGGTTCCCCAAGTCCCGACAAACCGGCCCCGGCGTTGTGGTTGGACAGTGGTCCACAGTGCCGGGTGCCGATGGTGGGGGCCCGGCTCCGAGTGTTTCCGGGCCAAATCCAGACGAAGGAGCCGCTTTTCTTAGACGTTGTTAGAAACATAATATTATAAAAGAGAGGAGATGGTCTCGTTTGTTGCTATAAGCACGAGGATATAAAATGTCGCCTGAAGGGAGTCCGTACTAAGGACCTTAATTGAGTATACAATGTACGTAGGTGTACAGAGTAGAACCATTGGTTCTTTTACCCAGCACGGCCCCTCCCTGAGCCAATACCTATTGCTACAAAGTTGGTGTTGTCTACGTGTACATACCTCGATAATAAACTCAAGGGACCTTGCGAAGGTCGCTGTATTTTTGTTCCGCCGCTTGGACATTCGCATCTTGCAAACAGGTTGCTCGGGTACCCGTATGTATGTGTACTTCGCATGAAGATCTCAAGGAGGTTCCCTTCCAGGTTCAACATGAACCAGCCAATAAGACCATGAGTACAGATAAACTGGCTACCTTAATTTCCCTGGACTCTTTTATTCGCCAGCCCCTGATTCTTCATTGGGCTTATCTTATCTTATCTAGATCCCGTCTACCTGTAGGTACCTAGGTACTTTCGCGAAGAATCAAAATTTGAACCCAGCATATGAGCCACCGCGAGCAAGAAGTCGACTTTGGTTACAGAGCTCAGTTTACTAATTGCCCTCGTACACTAGACTATCCAGACCGACATTCCTTTCTGAGTTTTTTGGGAGTTTTCTTTTCCATCCACTCCTGTTTTTAGAACGCGACTGGACTGTGGTGCAAAAACTGTTTAAGCAGTAAGGGACTGACTGCCCTGGGCTGAGGTACCTCTGCTTTCCAATTGATTCGTGGAGGGCTGTTGTACTCCGTACTTCGGTACGTCCTTTAGTACCTAAGGTAGGTACCTTAGTAAACCGTGATCGCGCTGACGGCTTCCTTCTCCTTCTCCTTCTCCTTCTCACCATCGCTAATTTCTCCTTTTTTCTCCCCTTACCTTCACTTCTTCCCGATGCTCGAAACTCCGCGAGCCTAATCGACGTGCCGAACGCCCTTCCCATCTCCGTCTCCTTCGCCGTCCCTCTTCATTTCATGCACGCCGCCCCATCACACTCCGGCGTCGCCCGCTCCGCTCCGGCCTCGCACTCTTCTTCCTCTTCTTCCTCCGCCCACCCGTCAATGAAATGAAACTGCCATCACTACCACTACCCGCCGTCCCCGAGAGGGCAGCCTCGCTCACGTCCCTGGTCTTCGCCGCCATCCTCCTCGCCGCCGCCCTCATCAACCATCTCAGCTTCACGACCGACCCTTACCGATGCGGCGCCCTGCTTCGGAGGGGGAGCTGGCTCGACCCTCCCAACGAGAAGGGCGACCGCGCCCCGTTTAGGAACTGGCAGCCCGACGGCTGTATGCTGCGCAAGTACAACAACGACGACATTAGGCACTGCATGGACGGTCGTCATATGGTGTTCTCGGGCGATTCGACTACCCGGCAGGTCTTCTGGGGCATGGCTCGTCTAGTACGTTACCTTGTCCCCTCTTCCCTTTCTCTCTCCCTCGTCCTCCCCCGGCCTTTCTTCGCCCGCTGACCAGCTTGTCCCCCGCTTTCAGCTAGACAGCCCGACGGCCGACCAAGCGCGCAAGAATGCCCCCGCCCACTCGAACTACGACATGACCATCAACGGCGTCCGCCTCGTCCAAATATGGAACCCCTATCTCGACTCGGGCGAAGCCAACCGCAACCTCACCCGCGAGCTCGACATCTACCGCGAAGAACGCGCCAACCCCGTCCCCGTCAAAGACCAGAAGAGCGCCGCCATCATCATGCTGGGCGTCGGCGGTTGGTTCGCCCTCCACAACCTCGAGGAAGAGGGTTACCGCAATTTCACCTCCGCCATCGATAATGTCACCGGCCTGCTCGCCCACCGCGACCTGCCCCGGTTCGGAACCCGCGCTCGCCCTATGCACCCCCTCGACGGCACCGGGAACGAGGTCTTCCTCGCCCCCGTCCACCCGCCCTGGTACGACGAGCTCCCCGAAAAGCGCAAGACGCCCGAGGGCATCCAGGTCGGCGAGCTCGAGTCGTACAACGAATACCTAGCCGGCATCGAGTACGATCGTCACCTCAGCCTGCTGTGGAGCTTCCCGGCCCTGTCGCAAGGCCAGCCCGAGACCATCGTCGACCGCAACGACACTGGTTTCCACGTGGTCGACTCCGTCGCCGAGACCAAGGCCACCATCCTCCTCAACCTGCGCTGCAATGCCAAGCTCGACGCCATGGACGGATACCCTCACGACCGCACCTGCTGCACCGACTACGGTCGCAAACCCGTCGTCCAGCAGCTGCTCCTCTTCCTCGGCGCCCTCTACGTCGCCGCCTGCGTTGCCGTCGAGGCCCGTACCCTCTGGCGGTCGAATGCTGCGGCCGACGGGCTTACGTCTCCACATCCCTCCTCCTCGCGACGACGATTATTCCTCGACTTTGACATGGCCATCTTCGTCGCCACCCTGCTGTGCTGCTACTATTTCGACCGCACCCAGATGCTCCCCAAGGGCTCCAAGCAGTACGTCCCCGGGGAGTTCCAGTTCCTCTGCGGCCTGGTCCTCCTAGTCGCTCTCCTCTCGTTGCGCCGCTCGCACGCCCCTCCTTCCTCGCCTCCTCCGCCTCTCTCCGAAAACGGTCACGCCGAACCCGAGATGGGCCCGTTCCTGTCGCGCGACCAGACCGACGAGTGGAAGGGCTGGATAGTCCTCTTCATCCTCATCTGCCACTGGACCGGTGCCCAGGCCTTGGGCCCTCAGGTCGTCTTCCGGCTCTGCGTCGCCGCCTATCTATTCCAGACCGGCTACGGCCACGCCACCTACTTCCTCACCAAGAAGGACTTTTCCTTCCACCGCGTCGCCGCCGCCACCCTGCTCCGTCTGAACCTCCTCAGCTGCGCGCTCTCCTACGTCATGAACACCGACTACACGTTTTACTACTTCGCCCCGCTCGTGAGCTTCTGGTTCCTCGTCGTCTGGGCCACCATGGCCATCGGTTCCAAGTACAACTTCAGCATCATTTTTGTCTCCCAAAAGATCCTCCTCTCGATGGTGTTCGTCCTTCTCCTCGTCCAGGTCACGCCCTTCCCGCGATGGGCCTTCGCCCTCCTCCGCGCCCTCTTCGGGGTCAACTGGGACGTCGACGAGTGGGAGTTCCGCCTCTCCCTCGACCCCTTCATCGTCTTCGTCGGCATGGCCACGGCCGTCGCCCACCAGGTCCTGAAGAACACGGCGGCGCGCGCCCCCCCCGTCCTGCACTACCTGGCCGCCGTCCTCGGCGTGCTCGGCACCTTCGTCTTCTGGCTCGCCTGCAGCGGACAGATCGAAGACACGGACCAGTACACGCAGTGGCACCCTTACGCCTCGTTCCTCCCCATCCTCGGGTTCGTGGCCGTGCGGAACATCCCCGGTCCCGTCGCCGCCGTCCGCACGTCCACGTCGCGCGCCATGGCTTGGGTCGGTCGCTGCTCGCTCGAGGTGCTGACGCTGCACTTCCACCTCTTCCTGGGCGCGGATACCAAGGGCGTGCTGCGGGTCGGGGGGCTCGGCGGCGACGGCAGCCTTTTCGGGGACAGGTGGAGGGATTTGGTTTTCATCGTCCCCTTCCTCCTGTGGATCAGCTCTCGCGTGGCCGAGGCGACGGGTCGCATTGTCAGAGTCCTCACCGATACGGCGAAGAACGACGAGTTTGTCGAGATGGGTCGGCAGGAGGAGGGGGGGGAAGGCGGGGAGCCCAAGGGGGGGGTGGAGAGGGACACGGACGGTCATGAGCATGGGTCGCCGTTCAGCATCCCCAAAATCGTCAGGGATGCCCGCAGCAAATACTCGGTCAACGATTTGCGGGTCCGGATGGGTATTTTGCTGGGTGTCATGTGGCTACTGAACCTGGTAAGTTGGGCTTCATGCGTTTGTTGCGTTTGTTGCGTTTGTTCCCTCTTTTTTCTCCCGGGGATCCGCTTGCTGACAAGGATCATCTCATAGATATATTGATGACGAAGACCAAGACCTCTTGAGCTCTTGGATCAAGATGTGGGACGATGGTTAGTTTCGCCGTTTCGTTCACTTCTGTTATTACGGATATATTCGGGTTTATTTAGGGTTTATTTCTCAGCGTTTAGCTGCATGAGCTACGGCGCTTTGGGGTATGAATATGTTTTGTAAATGTTTAGGCGATGCGAGAGGAGCTGATTTTGGCGCAGAGCCGTCTGTCTGTGTAGGGTAAGGAGGCATTGGAGGGAGATGCCCGAATTTTGTTGTCCTTGGGACGTTTTGCTCTTGCACTTTTCCTTCTTTTAGACTCGTTTCTTGGATCACGAAGCAAAGCGAGCACTTGACATTGAATATATTAGGGACAGAGAGGCAAACGGCAACCCAACGTGCGAGTGCGAGTGCGAGTGCGAGTTGGGGAATCCTCAACCGTTGTACTTTGCAAGTTGAGAGTCCAATGGGACGCGCACTTCGGTTACATCAACAAGCCGGCCAAGATCTGAAAAGGGGCAATGCATAGGATATCGATGTATCTTGGTGGAGAAGACGGCCTTCGCAGTAACTTAGCCGGATCAGTTCCCGAGATGACAGGACTCTCCATGTCGACGCTTTCCCCAAAGCGAACGGAGCAGACGGAGCAGACGGAGCAAACGGAGCGAACAAGAAGAAGCGACTCTGCGGAGAGGAGACCACGACAACAACCACGCGTGCGCATGGGTGCATGGTGCCTGGAGCTCCAGCGTCGTATCAGGAACCGGAATGCCTAAACTACACAACCCACTATTACCCGGACCATGGGTAAAGCTCAATGCCAAGACAGCTCGCAGACAGGGGGACAGGGGGAGAATGGGGGAGAATGGGGGAGAATGGGAAATTATAGGTCAGTTCAGTTAGCTTGGTCTTGGTCCTTGATGCCGTCCGCCACCGCTAACCCGCATTTGTGTTCTCTGGTCTTCTTCCCGCGTCTTCTCCTGGGCCATGCTTCCCCTCAGGCAGCCAGTGGATGCACGCTGCTCCTTCTAGACTCTCCCCAGGAAACGCCCCATAAGCCCTGCCCATGGGCCCCATGGGGCATTTCCACTGTACAACGTATTCAGCCGGCGTTCCTCCACTCTTCGCCAGTCCATTCCTGTTTGGGCGCGGCCAGCGAGCATGAAGGCATAACAGGCTGATTACTTAGTGCTCCCTATCACCGGGTCCCAGGATGCACAGGGAAATGACCATTCTTGGGTTCTTCTTGAGCGTCACCGGGGGCTCTCTGGGGCTCTCTTCCTTGGCAGGATAATGGAGGGCGTATATATGACCGAGGGATCGTCCCCGCTGCGACCTTTGCCAGCTTGCCTTTCCCAGCAGCAGCAGCAGCAGCATCAGGTAGCCGTGGATCAAGATCACCAGCCCTGACCGTCCACTCTTTTTTTTTTGCGACCTTGCTCAATCCCTTGCTCTGTGCAGATCGAAGAGAAGAGAATTCCTTCTTTTTTTTCTTTCCTTTTGCCAAAATGCAGCTCACCGCCGCTCCCCTCCTTGCCCTGGCCCTCGCGGGCTCAGTGGCCGCCGGACCTACGTGAGTTACATGTACTCTCCCTCGTAACAGTCTGGTGGGTGTGTCGCCGCTCTTCTGGTCCCATACTAACGCGATGGCGACCTTTCAGCTGCCTCGGCCTCAACGCTGCCATGAAGGCCAAGGGCAAGAGCCACGTCGGCACGGCGCTGACGCTCCGCGACAACGAGCCCCTCGAGGACGCCATCCTCCGCAACCCGCACGAGATTGGCGCCATCACGCCCGAGAACGCGCTCAAGTGGGAGTCGACCGAGCCCGGCTACGGCAACTTCACGTTCCAGAACGCCGACGAGCACGTCGACTTTGCGCTGCAGCACGGCCACTCGCTCCGCTGCCACACCCTCGTCTGGCACAGCCAGCTCGCGCCCTGGGTCGAGGCCGGCAACTACGACAATGCCACGCTGATTGAGATTATGCGGAGCCACATCTACACGGTTGCCGGCCGGTACAAGGGCCGCTGCAAGCACTGGGACGTTGTGAACGAGGGTGCGTTGACTGTCCCGTGCCTCTTCTTCCATCAAGTCTTTTCATTGTTCGCTTCCTTCCTACTAACAAACGACAGCCCTCGAGGAGGACGGCAGCTGGCGCCAGTCCGTCTTCTACAGGACCATCGGCGAGGCCTTCCTGCCCCTGGCCTTCAAGTTCGCGGCCGAGGCCGACCCCGACGCGCAGCTCTGGTACAACGACTACAACCTCGAGTACGACGAGGTCAAGACCATCGAGACGGCCAAGCTGATCGACCTCATCCGGTCGTACGGCGCGCGCATCGACGGCGTCGGTCTCCAGGGCCACCTGGTGGTCGAGCCCACCCCGACCCAGTCGACCATCACCCCGCCCCTGGAGGTGCTCGCGAGCGCGCTCCGCCGCTTCACCGACAAGGGCGTCGACGTCGAGTACACCGAGATCGACATCCGCATGAACACCCCCGCCACCCCGGAGAAGCTCGAGGAGCAGGCCGTCCAGTACCACCGCGTCGTCACCTCTTGCATGGACAACGACCGCTGCATTGGCATTACGCTCTGGGTATGTTCCTCTTTCGTCCTACGGTCTCCCCCCCCCGTGGCATCAAATGACAGTTGACTAACACGACATGCAGGGCATCTCGGACAAGTACTCTTGGATCCCCTACACCTTCGATGGTGAGGGCGCCGCTCTCGTCTGGGATGATGACTACAAGAGGAAGCCCGCCTACGGTGGCATCCTCGACGCCATCTACGAGGCTTAAGCGACCAGAGGTTTTCGTTTGTTCTTGTTGGCTGTAACAGTACAAATGAGCCGGGATAGGCGGCTCTGACGTGTATTAAATCAAGATGGATAATATAATCTGTCCAGTCGAAGCTGAACTATAGAACTCCAAAGCACTGTGCTTTGCTTTGATGAGAGAATCGTGCCTTCCCTTACTTGTGACACCAATGTCTGCCGATGCTCTGATCAACCCGTTGCTGTCGCCGTTGCTGTCGCCGTCGCCGTGCCAGTCACCACAGAAGCCCGTAACCTCGGACTTGTAAGTGCTGACCAAACTGCACAAGTTAACCAAGGGGAGAAACGTGTTCTAATTAAAATGAGAAATTTTCGCAATTCTTTTCAGAATCCCTTGAAGACGGGTCAGGTCGGTCAGTGATGCTGCTGCAGCTTGATAATGCAGGGTTAGAGCGAGGTTGAGCATCTTCCCATGCAGCGCCGTTGGTCTAGTGGTTATGATAATTGCCTTCCATTTCCAAGTGGGTTAGCAATTGAGACGCGTTCGATTCGCGTACGGCGCATTCCTTTTTTGTTTTCTTGTGTGTTCTCAATTGTGATTCCATTTTTCTTTATTTTTTCTCTCCTTCTTCTTTCTCCTCAATTCTCTTTTTTTTTATATACTCCCTCTCCTTGCTCTGTCTTTTTTCTTTGTATTTTCTATTGTTCGTGGTTTCCTTTTGAAAACATAAATACCGGCTACGGGTCCTACGTCTCCCCGCCCTGCCTTTCATATTCCCCTTCCATCGAGTGCAACGCTGTCCGTATCTACGGAAGCGCAAATCTAAACTCGAGTGTATAAGCCCAGAGCATAAGAAGAGCAAAAACAATAAGGTAGAGGACATACGAGGGAACACAGAAGGACAAGAACAAAAATAAAGAACCGAGTCTCGTCAGGATTTGAGCCCAACGTGGGGGTCGAACCCACAACCTTGAGATGGTGATCTCTGTTCCCCTCAAAGGGGGAGTAACTTGTAAGAGTCTCACGCTCTACCGATTGAGCTAGCCGGGCGGTGTTCTTCTTGGCTTCTGTTGCAGGTTGGATGCCGAAGCCCTCGGAAGCGCTAATATCGGCAGACCAAGTTTTGAAATGAAATCTCGGACAAGCCCTTGTTCATGAATTCGTTTGTTCAGGGCTCCGGGCAAGAAAATAGCAAGAGTCGAAGAGTCCGAGTCAGTGGCGTGGGGGTTCCATGGACCATAAGATGCATGTGACCACTGACCCGGAGATCCGTCCGTTTGTTTCCCGGGCCCGTCGGGATATGCCGCGGAAATAATACACAATAGGGTGGTATCCCGCGGCAAACCGTGTTAGAGAGTTCTGCAAATTAGTTCAGACTACCAAACGGCTGCATGTGGACAGTGAGGGCAGTTCCATGCGTATCTTCTTCGGTCTCCGATCCTTCGGCACAGTCATAATAATCAACATAAAGATCCTCGGGAGCGGCCGCATCGGATTCACCTGGCCGAATCCAACGCCTCAGTCTAGACTCCAGCCCGCTTTCCGTCGCAGTCCAGTGAGCGAATGTGAGTGAGGGTGGGTGGAATCTTGGTGTGATGGTGTGTTAGTATACGTTGTATTACATAGCACTAGTGTCCTGTATTTCAGGAGAAGCTACTCCTTTTTCACTTTAGTCTTGTCTTTATTTTTATTCTGATTTTTCGGTGGCTCCGCGGCGTGAAAAAACTCCCTGTGGAGGCTGTCGGCTGCCGGCATTTCTCGAGGAGGCTGATCACTGCTTGACTCACAGACTCACTCATATCCGCCCCTAATAGCCCGTGAGTGAGCCATCGACTCACGTCCCGTCCTCCAACGCCTACATGTAGCTGTCTTTGGTGTCCGGTCAACCAAAGATATCTTCAAGCAGCAACATTTCAACCCTCGGTTGAACTCAAGGGACACCGCCTGGTCCGCCTCGCTGGACCTTCGCCCGACTATCCCTCCCCGGGCCTCCCCGGCTTTCTCTCTGTCATTTGTTGAGACGGTGAGCTGCGATGGACGTCGAGGCGGGAAGAGATCCCACCATCCAGGGGACAATCCAGGATGGAGAGACTGCATGTGAGAAACCCACATGCACCCACGAAGACCCATCCACCTCCCCCCGGAGTCCGTCCACCTTCTCCAGCCTGCTCCGCAAGGCCCTCGCCCTGGGCCGGGTCGAGGAACGGGGCGTCGAGCCGTTGAGCCTGGACCACCGGACCTCCACGCGGTATATCAACTGCTTTACCATCTGGTGCTCCATGAACGCCAACATTCTTCCGTGAGCAAGCCGCAGGCGGCAGGCCTCGGCCCTCCCCGAGTCCCTCGTCTTTCACCGTCTGTCCCAACTGTGACCTCAACTGCTAACGGGCCATGTTTCTGTAGAATCACCTTTGGGCTGATGGGCCCCAAGTACTACGGCCTGGGCTTCCGGGATAGCGTCCTCATCATCGTCTTCCTCATCCTCCTCACCACCTTGGCGCCCGCCTTCCTCTCCACCCTGGGGCCCAAGACGGGCATGCGCCAGATGATCCAGGCGCGATTCAGCTTTGGGTGCGTCTTTGCTCTTTGCTCTTTGCTCTTTGCTCGTCCATCACTTCTACTTCTTTTTCTACCTACCCCACCATCCCTGCTAACGACATCGCCCAGCCGCTATATCGTCTCCATCCCCGTCGTCCTCAACCTCGCCACCCTAACCGGCTTCTGCATCATCATCTTCGTCGTCGGCGGCCAGTGCCTCTCGGCCGTGAGCGACGGCGCCCTGTCGCCCACCCTGGGCATCGTCCTCATCGCCGTCTTCGCCCTGTCCATCTCCTTCTGCGGCTTCAAGATCCTGCACTTTTACGAGTCGTACGCCTTCATCCCCGCTGTGATCGCTATTGTCATCGCCACGGGGACCGGCGGCGCCCATCTGCATGACCGCCCCCAGGTTCCGCCCCCTTCGGCGCCCCAGGTGCTCAACTATGCCATGGTCATGGCTTCGTACATGATCCCTTGGGCTTGTATTGCTTCAGATCTGACCACCTATTTTGATCCTCGGCCGCGTTATGCCTCGTAAGACCAGTTCCCCCTTTTTTCCCTCTCCTCTCTCCTTTTCCCCCTTTTTTCCTTTTTCTTTTTTTTCTTTTTTTCTTCTTCTGCACCCCACTAACAACTCCCTTTTCTACTCTGAAGCCTCCGCGTCTTCACCTTCAGCTACCTCGGCCTCATCCTCCCCACCATCCTCCTCATGACCCTAGGCGCCGCCATCGGCAGCGCCATCCCCAACGTCCCCGCCTGGAACCAAGGCTACGACGACACCCTCGTCGGCGGCGTGCTGGCTGCCATGCTCGCGCCCGCCGGCGGCTTCGGCAAGTTCGTCGTGGTCCTCCTGGCCTTCACGCTCCTCGGCAACGTCGCGGGCACCATGTACGCCATCTCGCTCAACTTCCAGACCATGGTTCCGTGGCTGGTGCGCGTGCCGCGGTGCGTCTTCGCCGTCGTCATCACCGGCATCACCATCCCCATCGCCATCCGCGCCGCCGACGACTTCTTCCTCAACCTCGAGAACTTCGTCGCCCTCATCAGCTACTGGTCCGCCGAGTTTGTCGCCATCGTGCTGGTCGAGCACTTGGTCTTCCGCCGCGGGGACGCAAAGGCGTACGCCCATGACGCGTGGAACGATGCGCGGAGGCTCCCTACCGGCCTTGCGGCCCTCGGGGCTGCCGTCCTGAGCTTTGGCTTGATCGTGCCTTGCATGTCACAGGCGTGGTTTGTCGGTCCTATCGCCAAGACGACGGGGGATATCGGGTTCGAGGTTGCCTTTATCTTGAGTGCGCTGTTGTATCTGCCTTTGCGGTGGGTAGAGAAGAGGGTCCTAAACAGGTGATTCACTGTAAAAGAAGCTGGCAATGAATAAATGAGAGATGATTTTAGATGATATGGTCCAGGTTATAATCATGTGCTGGCTCGGCTTTCCAATAGATGGTTCGCCCTTGTGCCCCTTGAGTACGACCACACATCGTCGTCCACATGACGCCCCTACAACCTCGGCCATAATTCCGACATCCCAGATGATCTCCATCACCTGTATGAGAACCGACGAGTCGGCGACAGATCTCAAGTTATCCTTCCTCCCTACCCCCGAGATGAACTACATAGAATTATAGCTTATAAGCTTAAAGGTTCTTCACATCCATGGCCCCTTTCCTGAAACTCTGACCACATAATGTTACACTATAGAGCCTGCCTGATCCTTCTGCCTTCCAACCATGTCCCAAGCCGAAATGCGCAAAAACAGTTGAGGAATATAAATCTAGCATCAAATGTCCCGTCCTTGAGGCTTTCTCGCCAACTCCTGATTCCCAACACCTACTCATCCTATTATTACCCTAGTATATCATACTCCTCTTAGTCCTATATTCTGTGCTATCATCTATGTCGTCAGGTCCTACCCCTGCCTCGGCCCACCATGATTGTTGGTCCTTCATACGCGGAATATCTCCTCGCCGGAACCGCCATGATCCTTTTCACCTACCTCGGACCGCTCTGCGTCGCCTACTTCCTCCTCCTCCTCTCCATAGCCGGCATTCCAGGCATATCCCACCCGATATCCATCGCAATCGAAGTCCTCGGCGCCCTGGAGATCCTGTTCTACTTCGTCTGGTTCCTCCCCTACCGCGCCTACCTCCAACGCCGTAGACCCCTGTCAGGCCCCTTGGCGCGGGACATGAGGAGACGGCTCTTTTACCGACAGCTCGGCCATGTGGCCGACATGGAGACGTACCTGTCCAAGTGGCACCACGGAGCCCAGTTCAGCGATATCCGCCGCGACAATCTGCAGAGCTGGCTTCTCTGGGCGCTGTTCGAGCGGGACGGGGACCCGGGGGAGGATGCCGCTGAGGTGGACGAGTATATCGAGGCCATCGAGCGGAAGTGCGGCTTCAGATTCCAGACGGGGTCGGGAGTTGCGGTGCCCCTTCGTCTGGCTTTCGATCCGGTCCAAATGAGGCATCGCAGTCTACTCTTCTACATGGTAATTCTCTACCTCTTCCTGCGCACGTCGCCTCAGAGTCTAACCCAAGATGTCAAGATGGTCGGCTTCCTCGACACGGTCACAGCCACCATCCTCCGCCTGAGAGGGTTCAAATTCTACCGCCAACCGCGCGGGAGATTCTTCACCGTCTTCCCCCCGCGTCTTCAAACCGTCCTAGCCACCTCCGCGTCCGCCTCCCCCCAGCTCTCCTACTATTACCGCCCGCCCGCCCCCTCGCCATCATCGACCTCGCCCTCCCACCGCCCCGTCCTTTTCCTCCACGGAGTAGGCATCGGCCTCGCAGCCTACCTCCCCTGGCTCCTCTTCTTCGCCCCCCCCGAAGCAGCGATCCTCATCCCCGAGTTCCTCCCCGTGTCAAGCCGCATCTGCGCCCCGCTCCCCCCAACCCTCGACCTCATCCGCAGCCTCTCCGCCATCCTAACCCAACAAGACCTCCGAGACGCGGTCCTGGTAGCCCACTCCTTCGGCACCTTCCTCCTCTCCCCCTTGCTGAGCGACCCGGACATGGCGAACCGCGTGTCGGCCATCGTACCGGTCGATCCCGTGTGTCTCCTCCTCCACCTCCCGGAGACGGCCTACAACTTTACGCGCAGCAGACCGCCAAGCGGCGAGCGGGGGGCCGAGTGGCAGCTCCGCTTCGTCGGCACGGATCCCGGGATTTCGTACACGTTTTCGCGGAGGCTGCGCTGGCATGAGCATATCCTGTGGGGGGAACAGCTGCTCGACAGGGCGAGGGGCTGGCGGGCTACGGTGGTGGTTGGTGGGCGGGACAGCATCATTGATCCCGCCGCCGTGGCGAAGTATGTTCACGATTTGTCTGAGGAATGTAGACGGGAAGGGGTATGGGAACGAAGTGAACGAAGTGATGAGAGCGATGCTGGGTGGCTAGCTTCCAAGGAGCGCTGGACGGGGCGGGAGGAGCTGGAGCTGATCTACCTTGCGCACTTGGACCACGGGCACACAATTCTTGGTCATGATGGAATGCGGGTTTTGGGCGAGGTTGTCAAGACGTATACGAGCGTGGAGAGTCTAGATAGTGTAGAGAGCGCGTCAACTGCTGGGACACCTCAGTGAGAAACACAGAGCTAGAGACGTGGACGGGGAACTGTCCGAAGGGCATGGCATCAGCATGTGGCAGGGATACCGAGGAGGAGACCTAGAAGAGCGCCTATTGTCCATTTGATTATACTTTGTAGGTAAGAAACATAGACGAAGACGTAGAAGAATATATATATATATATATATTAGGACACAGCTAGAAATAGGGGTAGTCGGTTCCGTACCCGTATCATTCTGAAGGAATGTGAGCCTGCCGAAAGAAGACGAAAAAGAAAATGAATAATAATTAATGAACAGCTCCGATGGGAATCTTCCAAAATACTTGAGTTCTGCAGTCTGCCATCCAAGCCACTTGACTCCTCAAGTGTCCAGCAAGTGATCAGATTCACTCTTCACCAGTCTTCTCGTGGTCTGGGGGCATCGGTCAGGGGCACGTAACGCACCCCAAACAGCTTCTCCTTGGCAATAGACCCATTCTCCTTCTTGTCGACAGCCCAGATGTACTGATCACCAAAACCGTGCTCGTCCTCGACGGGGATGAACAACCTATAAGGGGGAAACAGGGGGTCAGCATACCGTACTGAAAATGAAGAAGCAAAAAAAAAAAAAAAAAAGAGAGAGAGAAAACCTACCGCCCAGGCACGCGAAGCTGATCTATCAACTCCTGATGCAGCTCCACCGCCGCAGCACCCACATGAATGGCATCCCAACCACGATCTCCCGCCGTCCCTTCTTCCTGCCCCTCCCCCTCCCTAGGGGGCTCATCCCAGCCCTTCCTCCCATCCCCAACGCGGAACCGCACCTTCCCAGACGCCAGGAGCGCCCTCCCCTCCGCACTCTTGGCCATGTTCCTCTCGCCCAGGTCCTTGAGCTCGGGGATGTGCTCCAGGCCGACGACGAGGCCGCGGTCGCCGACCAGCTCGGCGAGGATGTGGGTCAGGTAGCCGGAGCCGGAGCCGATATCGAGGACGCGCGGGGCCGAGTTGCGGGGCGAGGGGAGGACGTGGTGCAGCAGGGACTCGGTGGCGTGGGCGTGCATGTGCGGGGCGGAGATGGTGGCGTCGTAGCCGATGGACTGGGGGGAGTCCATGTACGGCATGCTGGGTGCGTAGTGCGCTCGGTCGACCTGCGGTCCGCGAACGTGGGGTCAGTCAGGCCGTCACAGGTGGAGCCGAACAATGCAGAAAAGAAAAGGGAATCAGAAAGGACAAACGAAACACGGGGAGTGGCAGACGCCCGCCGCAGACCTTCAGAAAGGCTTCCTTCACACGGGGATCGGTGATGAGCCCGTTCCGCCATAGGTTCTCGACGAGGTCGACGTTGGAGGCACCGGAGCTTCGCCAAGCCATGTTGAGACCGAGGTGGAGGGATCGGTGGTGATGGTGGGAGCCGGATGCCAGAGCCGCAGGGAAGCAGAGGGGAAGGAGCTGGAGAGCTCGCCAAAGTCTGAGTGGAGGAATCGTGGCGAAGTGAATTTTGGCGGCCGTTTTTTAGATTTGCCGGAGATGAAGACGAAGCTGGGATGGTGAAGATAAAGGGTCTTCAGCGTGGACGCCTTGAAATTCTCTTTGGTGTAGGAGGATGGCTTCTTTCGATGCGGATGTCGAGATATCGGGGGGTCGAGAGGTCAGGGTACATAAGGTATGGATGAGGGTGGGGTTTCACCGAGCCTGGTGCCTGAAACTTCGAATGACAACGGAAGGACATTAATGACATTAATAATGTGGCATGATGTGATGATGTATGATGCAATTCATCCCCAGCTCGACAAGGGGAAACGGCGAGGGAGACAGCGGAGAGGGGGACATGAGCAGGAGTACAGGTACATAGCTGAGGGGCTGGACGAGTGACCTGCGAACCCCGCGTCTCTCACAGAGGCCGTGGTGTACTCGGCAGGATCTATAAGGTAAGGTACATTCCGAGTAAAGCCGCATAGTGGAACCAGGTATTTCAGTCCACTGTGGGAGTAAAGCACCTTATACATGGTAGCAAGGGATTAAGACGACATCTGAACAAGTTCCGCCGTGTGCTAATTGAAGCATATGCGAAGGGGTGACAATACTGACCGACAGGATACCGGACGCGTTGACGTTCCATGGTTGTAATCCGACGATGCCCTTAGAAAACAGAAGAGCAACTCCTGGCAACATACCAGCAATTCCCAGTACCTGGTCCGAATTTCGACAAGCAAACCCAAGAGAGGCGAGAATTAGATGTACTGTATCTCAAGGCGTCGCCCGTTAACCCCCTTATACTTCTCATCATGCCTCTCTCCCCCCATACCTCCTCCCCCCATACCTCCTCCCCCCATACCTCCTCCCCCCATACCTCCTCCCCATCATACCACACGCTCCGAGGACTCGCCCGAGGCAATGATGGGCACCGGCAATCCCCGATCCGGGCTCCGCAACACGAGCAGCTCGTGTCCCCTCGCCTTGATATAGTCCGAGATGGATCGGATCAAGATGAACCAGCCAATGACCATCAACACGAAGGACACCCACTCCAACCCGCTGATATCGCCGATGCCGCCCCCACCGCCCGTCACCTCGCCGCTGTCAAAGTCGTGCGCGTTGGGATCCGGCGGCGCCGAATAGCCCTCGTCGCCGTCCATCTGCGGACCCGTCCCCGTCTGGGGGACGTCCGCCCGCATGGAGAAGCCGTTCTGGATCAGGGTGACGCCGAGGCCGAAGCGCGACCCGTTCTTGGCCGCGTGCGTCGAGTGGAGGAGGTAGGTGAGGAGGAAGCCGACGAAGGGGAAGGACATGGAGATGGTAGCGTTCCATACGAAGCTGAAGAAGGAGCCTACCGGCATGCCGTCGATGAATACCTCGTCGGGGCCGCCCAGCCCGGGTGCTAGGATCGTCGTCTCCCAGTAGGGAGGTGCTGCATCGGCCGCTGCCTCTTCGTATGTCTGCAGAAGAGCACAAATCGTCAGCGATGGCCATTTCCGAGAACAAAACGGAAAAACGACAAAGTCGTGTCAGGACAACATACCGGAGGCTGTTCATCCTTTTCCTCCACTCTCCTCTCCGGCTTAGCCATCAGATTGGAAAACACGCCCTCGTTCGCCGTGCCGCCACCGTACACCCGCCCCGACGACGACGGAGGTGCCCGCGTCGAAGATGTCGCACCACCCACCGCTGGCGGCGTCGTATTCTGCGTCTCAGGAGGGGTATATCGTTGAGATGACGAGGCGGCGGCGGCGGCGGCGGCGGAGGAGGAGGAAGAGGAAGCGGAAGATACGGGGAAGGAATTTCCCCGAACAAGGCGCTGCCTATCGTCGGCTTCATCATCGCTCTCGTCGTCGTCGTCTGCGCCGAAGGCATCGGCCAAGGCCGGGTCGACCGAACTTCCTCGGTTGGGAGATGTTTGTCTCGAGTGGAAGGACGGCGGGGGGGAGTTGGGTACCGGCTGCGCTTGTCTCGGGCCGGAGGGGACGTTTGTTTCGAGGTCGTCGTCGTCCTCGTGCACGTTTACCTGGAGCAGCGGAAATATCAGGATATCTGCAAATGAATCATCGGGGAATGAGGACTGAGGAGATTCACATACCCGCTCGTAGCGGCCTGCCATGATGGCGAGGGACAGGTGATCAAAATGAGAAGGATGGAAGAAAGTACGAGAATACGAGTGTGGTAGAGGGCCGTGCTCTGTAGGGTCGAGGAGAATGTTGTGTCGGAGTATGGGTCTGGTTCGATCAAGGAAAGATGGGTGGCGGTGTCGTCACTCGATGCGTACGGTGGCAGTCGCTAGAAATCTAGGAAAGTATTCTTTCCGTTGAAAGAGTACCTTATAAAACCAACAAGAGAAGGAATTTGTCGAGAGAAAGGCGAATGAGACAAAGGGAATAATGGAGTCGACGTTCGGGGGGGAAATCGGTACGAAGTAGGTTGCAAGAGAAAGGAACCGGTTCTACTGATGAACAGCTGGACAGAGAGGAGAAGGGGGCGGATGGCCAACGCACTTTAGTCCGTTCTTGTATCTGTACCTTTGAATTCGGGGCATTATGGCAAAGAGTACGTGTACTGTGTACATTCCCGAATCAGAACCAACACTCGCATGACCACATGAGGCCAAGAGCATGCCAAGCCAAAACCCTGGATAAAGCGGCAGGGAGGGAGAGAGACTACCAGAGACAACCCAACCGAAACTGCTGGAACCACAGCACTTGGCTCACTGAGACGAAGCGCTTAGTCACTGTTGCCTAAAGGCGGGCGGGTGGAGTACAACGCATTACGAAGTATCGATGTAGCTTTAGGGGACAGAGAATGACGAATCATGATGCTTTCGCGTCAACAATTCAGCGGTTTCGGGCCAACCAGCTGCCGAGACAGTAAGTACTAAGTACGACATATTACTACCTTCTCCATGCACTGTATCCGTACTTTGTACTTGTCAGAGAAGCCTTGGGTAAAATACTTCCTTTCGAAAGTTGACTTCACGATCCTAGACACAGAGCAAACCGAGCAAACTTGGCATCGACGAAGCTCCGGGCTGCCATCAACAAGTTGACAGTAGCCAGCTACCCCAGCGGCTCATATTCCCCTGAATCTCGGCTGGACAATGTCGTGAATTAAAACATATACCATTTCTTCAATTCGCCGCCACAGCTCACAATGTCGCGCCCAGCCAGTGTACGCTCCTCCAGTCGGCTCGGTTTTTTCTACCTCCCCCCTCCCTCAATGCCCCTGTGGTCCTCCATTGAAGTCTTGGAAACTTCGACAACTGACGAGGGAAACTCTCACATCAATAGCAGGTGTACAAGCATTACCAACGCGCCCTCTCCTTGTGGCCCAAAGATGAGCTGCGCCCTCACGTCCAGTTCCCCGACTTCGTGATGCGAGGCATCCAAAAGCGGCTCGACCCGACGACCAAGGCTCCCCTCGACCCGAAGCGGGAATTGGCCCAGCTCAACGCGCTCTGCAGCCTTGCCGAGGACCGCTACGTTAAAAAGGTGCGCCGAATCTCGAGATGGTGGATGCAGTCCCCGCGGGGAATGGACGAGTGGCGCTAAGCTCGGTTGCTAATTTTGCGATTCCCAGTTCCCTACCGGCCATAAAATCCTCAACCCCAAGAGTCAACCGACCTACTTTAAGGATTTACTGCGCGAAATGGAGGAGGCTCCTAGCAGGACGTGGCTGCAAAATGTTTCCAAGAAGCTGACCGGCATGTTCCGGTGGGAGTAAAAGATCAAATGGAGGACAAAAGAGGAAGTAAAGAACAAAAGGGATACCCGTTCACTGGCGAGGGGAGCACATCCTACAACACCAATATGGACGGCATGCAAGGAATATGGGAAGGGACCAAGAGGAACACTCGAATCTCGGGACATGAACCCCTCCAGTATGCTAGTGGGCTGCATCACTTGGTAATATGTATAATATTTTCATGTACAACAGGTGTACCATATCGAAGGGGAAACAAAATGGAGAAATTAGTGAGAGAAATTGAGAAGAGAAGAAAAAAAAAGGAAGAGGAAAAGAAGAAGCTTTGCTTAGCTCTCTATGCAATGTCCCAAAACGCCGCTTGAATGGTTGCTTTTATCCTCCCGAGATCCGTCTTCCACCGCCCATCCCAGCTTCCGTCATCTGTCGTCTTTCATAGGTATCGTCCTTCCGGGTCCAATCTGTCCATCATCTCGATCGACTTCTCGTACATGGTAAACACCAACCCCCCGCTGACCACCAACCTCGCCAGCCGCGGCAGCGCGCCGCTCCAGAAAGTCAACATCCCCTCCTGGCGGAAGATCATAGCCGCGCACCGAAAGCTGTTTCCGTACTGCGACCGCGCCTCGATGCTCTGCATGCGCGTCTTGATCGTGTCGAGCGGCTGCGTGACGTACACGGTAATGAGGCCGGCCAGGCCGCCGATGCCGAACGTGCCCGCGGCGCCGAGCTTCTCCCCGGGCGCCGTGAACGACTCGGCCAGCTGCTTCAGCGTGTTGTAGGCCCCGAAGCGCGTCGCCGAGTTGGCGGCCTGGCGCGCCGTGGTGGGCACGAACCCTTGGAAGAAGCCGCGGAGGCCGCGTTCCCGCGCGATGATGGGGACCGCGTGGAGGAAGCCGCGCATGCGGGGTTTGGGGGATTTCCGGTCGTCGATTCTGCATCGTTACACAGTCCTCGTCAGTCTTTCTGGTCGCGCCACCAATTTTTTTTTTTTTCCTTCCTCCTC